TTCCCATCACAAAATAAACACATTTATTTCACTTTAGCCTTATTTTAATTAAGTTGACTTTAAATAAACATTTTGTGTTTCGTCCTTCTTTTGCCTCTATATTTGTATTTTCCATTTCTATTTTATTTCCACAATTTTATCTAATACATTAATAATTAATTACGCAAAAGACTATGTTAACCACAACTGACGATCCTCTAAATTGCTGTTTCTGTAGCCCAGTAATAGTCCGTTTTTTGAATTACCTCTTGAAATAAAAGTATTTGAACAGTGTTACAACCTGTCAAATATTTTGTCACTTCGCTGTACGTTGGAATTGGAAATGTTTTATCAATATAATATAAAAAGTGCTATTATTTTTATTATTTATATCATCATTACAAAATATAATCTTCTTGTTTTATATGAATATTTAAATAAATTGATGCCAACTTAAAAGTGGCGTCAGGTGAGTTTAGTCCCAAACATTATGCGTCTTTACGACACATACCTACTATTCAATGAAACGTGTAATATACGTTTTGTCATAAACTAAAGTTTTTTTTTATGAAAAACTAATTGTAGTCTTGGGTTTTATGTAAAATAATCTTTATTCATTTAATGACAAAAATGAACATATTACATGAAAAAAAAACATAGAAGTAGGAGCGTGAGGTATAACAGCTACATCTCTACAACGTAATACAAGAACTCACATTAATTAATTATTGGAAGGCACTTCGAAGGCAGTCCTAGTAGGTTCGTTTCATATTTTGTTAGGTAGAAAGAGAAAATGGACAGAGAAGGTAAGCGTTTAACGCACGTTAGATAGGGGCCCCTTAAACCTACACCTGGGTCGCAAGTCCCAGGCACTGTTGAAGCTCCTCTCCCTGCAACGCGATGGACCCGGCACCCGCACGGTGAATCCATTGAATGCTAAGAGGTTTCGTCTGCTGTAAAGTAATTCTTATATAAATTAAAATTACATTTTAGGTACTCCACTTTATCTAAAATAATAAAATAAGAAAACAATATTTATTTCAGTTTGTTATTTTAACTAATTTAATATGAGACACGATAAAACATTATCACGAAAATAAATAACTCTATATTAAGTGACGTAAAAAAAAATGTATTTTTAAAGACGCTGCAGTCATGAAAATTTCCCATCAACGTAGATGATTATTAATAAACGGTGCTAAATTCTAATACAAATATGCATGAAAATCTAATTCTGTCATAAAAAACCCGTATCTATATCTACATATATATAAAAGTATCTAGATATATCTACATTTGCTGATCGGTATGGCATGATACCTGATCTCCATGAACTTGAAATGCATCTCACGTGAAATGCTCGTGGTCCATATCATAATTACCACAGTAATATCCGGCTATTAAAGTAATTGATAAGAGAAATGATAAGGCAGTCTTAGATATAGCAATTAAATAGTTAGACAGTGTTTATTTATAGTATATGTGCAATGGTTGATATATAAATAAAAATAAATGCTTTGTAGTCTTAATACAAGTTTCCATCGTCATACTACACACGAGCAGTTTACAAGTTTGATTTATTAATCTCATCACGTGCTTATTGCTAGTATCAACGTTTGATTAAAGAAAATGTAGTGTGAAGAAAGGAAAAGAAGCTTGAAATAAGGCTACTATTAAAGAAATCTTATTAACTATCTAAAAAATCTAATCTTAAAAATAAGTGTATTTTTACTATTCTAATTAAGTGTTTTGTTAAATTTTTGACGCTTTTAACACCAAAATAAATATCAACTTTTCTGCGATTATGTTAATGTTGCATATACATATATTATTCTTACTTAAAAAAAACATATGACGCGATATGCGATGTTGTTGTTAATAAAATAAAACTAAAATAACACTTACTTAAAAAGTATTAAGCTTAAAAACATAATTAATACATCCATCATGGAAAAGATTGTGAATTAATAGTGATTTCAAAAGAAATAATCATAGCGGACATAGCATTATTTTTAATGTTTTTTTATATTAAATACTTCATCTATTATAAATGTTGAATACCCTTTGTCTTTTCCTTCCCAATGATGACACCTAGTTAGCCTAGACTCTAAAGTGTTCATTGTCTTAACACAGTAATACATATATTAGTTTCTCTGATAATTTATGAGTATGAAGCGTTGTAACTGCATACATTACTCGTAAATTGTTTAAGTATAATTATACTTATAAGTTATAAGTATCTTGTATTCTATTAGGATGATAAAAAGTATGTGAATTTTTTTTCTATAATAAATATCAACTGGTCAATATTATCATTGCTTAGTTAAGTTTTTAATAAAATAAACAGTCGCTAAATTACTTCATAATATATACATACATTATACACAATATATTAATTGAAATACCTAGCATGTAAAGTATTTTCATTAATTGAAACAATTAGTTTATGACATTGTCATCTTTATCAAGATATTAAAACAAAACAATAGTTTAAGAATTTTATTTTTAAATCTTCATCAATGCCATTTTATACTATGAATTATTGATCAAAAATCTTTAAAGGTCCGATATTACTATTTACGAGAATTTACACTATATATAGAGACAAGCTAAGTACAATAATTTCAATGTCATTTTATCTGTTAACACTTAATGATAATTTCAGATATGACAATAAAATCAAAACATTGACTTATCAATTTTGACATAACACAAAAAATGGTTCAAAAAAATTACTTTGATTACAACGAAGTTAGCTATAACTAAAACCATTGCTTAAAAATGTTAGAAACATTAAAAGGTATTTTAATTATATTTAAAAAAAATCATTATCTGTTTAATATTTATTATTATATAATATTACGATAACAAATATGGCAACACGTAATTTAGGTCAGTGTGTATTTAAAGTTGTTAACCCTGCCTTCATGTAGTACATCATTGAATGCAGACATTGTTGGTATACTATACGCTTACAAACAGCTTTGTTTTTGAATTCCTTAGTTTTATGAGAGTAAAACGAGTAATATAGAATGTATTGATAAATTTAAATATCAAAAGAGTGTTACCATCGTTTATAATCTTACCTGAGACTTGCTTATAATGTATTAAATTGATGAAAAATAACAATCTTTGCATATCTCTCTTTCCTGTTCTTTCAAAAAATTTGTTAAATGCACTCAATATATTAATTAAATTTTATTTTATTCAATACAAGTAAGTGGCGAAAGTAAATCTTTCTGCGTAAATGTTGTCACGGTTTACCTTGCAGTTAATTTTTTCATTAAACTTTTTTTCTGTCACCTCCAAACAAAATTTTTTTCTCTCAAAACATATTCAAACTCTTTCGTAACGATATTAAACGTTCAGGAAACCCATAATTATAGAACTGCATTACATAATACGGCCAGACAAGTTTATTTATAATTAAAACATTATTTATAGTAAGTATGTTAAAGTAAAAAAAAAAAGTAATTAAAAAAAAACTAATACGAACTATTATTAACTTTGAGGTAACCGTGAAGACAATATATAAGTTTAGTCATCAAATTAGTGAAATTTATTAGCAATTCTTAAAACAATATAAAAAATAATTTGCAAACGTTCATAGCAACACTAATTAAATATGAAATTTAATTTATCGACGTTATATATAATATTTTAACGATCTAAAACATTAGGCAACAGTATTAATAAAGAAAACTATAATTTCACTTGATGCATTTAATCATTACAATTAAGTATAATTAGTTTTGGTCAGAATACTTTGAATCAAATATAAGAAAAATGAGCTCAACATAAAACTACTTATTCTGATTTTAATTTGATGATTACATAAACGATTCCCAAAAAGGGTGTTCTGTATTTGACTAATAAATATGTAAGTTTTTATGTTCATGGATTTCTTTAAAACTTGATATCCGATTTGACTTTGGTTTTGTTTTTGTAAAGCACTTTTTATTAGAAGTGTTTTAATATACCTACTAAATGTATAATTAATTATTGTCTAGTTAAGATACTCAATGTCACATTAGTTTTAAGTCAATTATCATATTCTTTGACAATCAAGTGTATTAATATACAAATATAAGTAGAGTTATTTAATAAATCAATCAGTCAGTATGTTTAGGTTAAATGACGCATTACAACAACAACGTTTGTATTCAAATTATAACAAGTCTACCATATTATGCGTATTGATTATTATCAGTAATAAAATTCAATAATGAATAATGAATTCTAGCTGGTTATTCAAGAAAATATCTTATCTCTGTTGGAGTCCTTTGCGAGTATGTTTTTGTTTTTTTTTTTTGTCATTATAACTCGGTCCGACCACTTGCAGCAAAAAGTTTTTATATTTAACCAAGTAAGTGTACGTGATACGAAAGCGACATGTCTAATATTTCAGGTCAGAGTTGCATGGCGTCGGTGCGTGGTGCCTACGTGACGTCGCCCGCGTGGCTCGAGGGGGCCGGCCGGTTTGTGTACACGAATTGTTGTATAACATAATTATCGATATTTTAAACATAGAAAATAATTTTGTTCATTGTTGTACGAAAGAACTATTCGACTTACAATTTTTTTTATGTTCAACTTTCTTGATCGCATGTGTTGAAATAGCGATGTTTATTTGACATAATTATAATGGTATAATTTTTTTTTCAGTAATATTATAATATATCACGTTGCCTCAATTAAGATAAAACAAGTTTTCGTGATAGCACTCAAATGTACATTAAGGGCGTAGTACGATATAATGGACAAATTGATAAGATTATCGATATCGATAAAACGAATGTAAACACTGCACACATCTCTATTGCTTATATTTTGAAACGGCTTCGAATGGCAACTGGGAAGGAGCAAAACACAACAAAGAATCAGTCGGTTGCGACAACTCGTTGTGAACAGGCGTCTATCAAGATATTGATTATTTTCATTACTGATTATTTTATTCTTACAATATATCTATTAGCATTCGTGCATTTATCAAATAAAGTTAAAAAGGAATATCTGTAACAATGTTTTGTACAAGGAAGAGTGTAGATAAGTTTTTCCAAGCTTACAAGAATGAACTTCGTCGTCAAATAAGCAAAACTACAAGTGTTACTAACTCAGATTCTATGGCACCGAGACTGGATCAGACCAATAAGGCTACCAACGAAGAAACAGTACAGAAACGCTTGCTGAAGTTGCAGAAATATCACAGGTCAGTGACCCCGCTTGATTGGATGTAACACTAGACGCGTTTGTAAACAGTAAACATACAACTCTTAAATGGACATTGTACTTCGATTTCTCATTTTGTATTCACGAATAAATAAAACATTTACATGATAGATGTGGCTCTGTTCCTGTTTTTGTAGTGTGATCAGATTTACACGCCTATTTACATGTACCATTCGTTATCTAATGTCAATAACATAATAACAAAATATAACGGATGCCATTATCACTCAGACTAAAATAATACTAAAATGTTATTTTAATATATTTTATTATAGATTAAAAAAAATATACTAGACATTTAAAATTTCTTTATAGTATTTTTAACACACAAACTTTTCTTAATAATCGTGCATTGGTTTTGGCTGTTTAATCCATACTTAATTGTTTTTTTGTGCCCAAAAAAAAATAGCCAATGTCCATTTTTAATCTGTAGATACCTGTCAACCCTCACGTCTCAGCAAATGCCACTGGCGGCCCGCGGACTGGCGGTGTCAAAAGACCAGTCCCGGGAATTCATGGCTTGCTTCCCGGACATCGTGAGGGAGCTCACAGAAACTGGCAAGCATATTGACGTGCCGGAAGCCAGCAAGTGGTTGGCTAAGGTACGTTCTATGTTGTTTTTGTCAGTTATTAGACAGAATGATATAGAACCTCATTGGTTGATTAAAATCTGAAAACATAAACCGGTCATACAACAATTCAAATGAACTGTTTATGCTCTGGACTTTTTATTACCTAGACTGTCGCCTGATAATGTGTCGTCTTAAAAACGTGTCGTGTAACGTGACAAGATTTTATTAAGATTTAAATTATTGACATAGTCCCTCTCAGACGAGACATTAATTAAACGTTTATTTACTTAAATAGAAATGATAGTTTTATATATCTCTATAAGAAACATCGTAATTTTATTCATTTTAGCATTAAAGTTAAAATTATATACAATTATGTTAGTTTTAGAATGCTAACACTGTAGTACTGCATCTTTCGCTTCTTTGAATACTAAAACGTAATTAGCAATGGCGCTTAGTGCGGCGGTATTGCAAAAACGTGTAACTGGTTTCAGTAGGTAGTTTATTTATAGAATTACCTAAACTAATTACTTGGAGAAAACGAGAAATCGCAAGGTTTAAATTATTATGCACTATTATTCTAACTTTCTATAATCTAGACCAAGATTTCTAAATTCTAGACAGGTTTTAGATCATAAATTAGTTTAATACTTACTCTATTTTACTTCTAAGAATAAAAATTTAATTATTATATCACTTAAAAATACATAACGACTTAAGTAGCTACTTCCTTAAGTCCCTTACAATTTTTTATTGTAAGTTTTTGTCAGAACAGGTAAAATTTAAAAAAAAAGAATTCAATGAAAAAATAATAATGTAGATAATTCTTTTAGAAAAAGGCAACAATTCTTTATCCTCCGTAACTCTTTGTGTATAAGTTGGATAAAATATTCAGTTTGCATTAAAGTTGTCAGCGTCGTAAAAAATGTGACACCGTTACTTCGATTATTTTCAAACAAAGAGTTTTTACTTCATGCTTTGTTAAAAAAAAACTCTCAATTTAGGTCTTTATTGAAGTGATATAAAAAATGCTTTAAAATTTGATAAATATTTAACAGGAACGAATTACTATTTAGTAAAAGTCGGGCTATTTCAACCTTGAGTTTTTTTGTATCAAGTAAAAAATATGTCACTTAAGAAATCGTGGAAACTGCGAGTGTTATGCAAAAGTTTACGATTTTCTTATAAATTTTATCATAGATAATTTTTATACCGTCACTTTCAAGTTGAATGGAATTCATTTAATATTATAATTTAACTTCTCATTTAAAATAAATTCAATAAAGAAATTTCATTATAAATTCTGACAGACTATCAACATATTATATTTGTTCGGAAACACGCATCAGAATATTTTAATGTTCGCAGCTGTCTATTATTAATTTCGTTTCCATTACAAAAAAATATTTAATATTGAATTTGAAATGTTCACCATTCTAGTTGTATTTTTAAAAGACTTTCAATACCTTCATCTATTCATTTTTTTCTGTTTATTAATATTATCAATATTTGAATATGTACATGAATTCGAAAAGGATCCCAAAATATAAAGTATAGTTTAAAAATAACAAAATTTTTAACGAACACTATCTTTGTATAACAAGACGTATTCTATTCGAAATTTTTGCATATCAATATGTTAAGTTTTTATATGGATTTTGATCAAGCGGAGATAATCCCTAAATACCAATCTATTTATTATAGGTGTACGTGTTATACATATACGTATTAATTATTGCACAGCTTTAAGCTTTTGCTTAGGAAAAAATCTACGAGTTTAATATTATTTTTAAGTTAAATTTGTTGACATCTCTTTTTAAGATATTACAAACCTTTTTATATTTCAATTTAATAATAAATGGTATGTAATGAAACAGGCATTAAAAATTACTGCTTTTTGCTATCAATAGTTATAGAAATAGTATATAATTACCATGATTTTATTATAATGAATATATTTCCTGTTTTCCTCTGAATTGAAATTGTCAATAATTATATGTTTACATATTATTGGGGTATTTGAAAATAATAATTAACACTCATGAAATTTGAAATTTACAAATCAATAAATTAATTTATTTTTTAAAAATAAGATCTTTGCTGGCCTAAATATATAAATATACGCCTTTCATATGTTTTGTCTTAAAAAATATTGTGCAATATTTGCTACATAAATTAGCAATATTATTTTCAACAAATTATAATAAATAAAGGTCAGTTATGTCATATGTGTGTTGTTTCTATAATATCCTTATATAACGTATGGAATGCTTTTAATTTATTTAGATTCTTTAGACAACGATATAAATTCTATTCCGTATACTACAATTGATTAAATTCATATATCGATTTATTCTTAAATACAGATAACAAAAATAACACAAAAATCGTTTATCGGACTTGACGTAAGACGTCAAAATATTTGACCGCGCTGTCACAGTAGGTATACTTATAGTGTTAAAATATATTGTTACAGCTTCTTCAATACAATGTACCAAACGGTAAGAAGAACCGCGGGCTGGCGACTGTCTTAGCATACAAGATGCTCGAGAAACCTGATAAATTGACCCCAGAGAACATACACCTAGCTAACATAATGGGATGGTGCACGGAAATGGTGAGAACGTTAAAAGAATTTAAAGATTCAGTGATATTCCACGTTTTATGGCATTTGCTTAGCAAGTGATAAATAATTTATATAGCAACTGTTACCATTCTTTGTTTTATAGTTATTTGATGATACAATTCACAAGCACTTGTAAATTATTACATTCATAATATGGTTCCGCCTGTTATGTGTTATCGCTTTATATAGATTTACGCAATATATCTATAAATTATACCCTATGTGTTATTTTGATATAGGAACAAAATAAGACTATTAGAATTCATGTGTCAGTCAAGAATAACAATACGTACATTGCTAGAAAAAGTTTAATTATCGATGTTTTATACGAACATGTTAGAAAATATTGACATTAAGAAACTAATATCGCGCAAATGAAACCAGCTTTTTGGCGTTTCATTTAAATAAACTCGATTCATATATCGTATTATTAATAATTTTGTTTTGAATGTCCCTCAAATCTCGATAAATGGTGCATAGAGCAAAAAAATCTCTCGTATTAAATGCATAGACAATAAGATATATTTTTATTGACATAACGTTAAAAACTGTTTTAAACAATAACTAATAATAATTAATAATGCATACTAAAATATCGTATAATAATTTTAATTCTTATACTTTGTATTTCTAATTTACATACATTTTTAGAGCGCCTCAAAAATACTTATTATCGTATGAGAGAATGACCTTGAAGTGTGTTTGGTGATATTGTTTATAGTAGAAACAAAACTTTAATATAATCACGTTATACATTTTAATGGAATATTTAGATAAAAAAAGTTTAAATATTTAATACAGATTACGATAAACATTTCACAATAATAATGAACTATCGAAACTCCTATTGTTTACGTAATGATTTAATGACAAATAGTTTTAATCAGATAAATATAAAATTAACCGATTAACTGATCTGTTAAAAAAATATAAGTCTATATAACATTCCATTCGATATTCAAATTTTTAAATATACGCGCCAAGTAAAGAAGATTCTATTTTTAAATTTTATACATGTGTCATTATTTTTTTTATATGTGTCCAGTTCCACACACACCAACTGCTTCTGAACGACATAATGTCTGGTGCTGAGATGCGTCGCGGTGTTCCTTGTTGGTATCGTCAAACAAACGTCGGCATGGCAGCAATCAACGATTCATCATTGATACAGTCGGCTATGTACTCCACGCTTAAAAGAAACTTCGTCAACAAACCATATTATAAGAACGTACTGGAAATGTTCAACGAGGTAATTATATGATTACTAGCTCTGCCCCGCGGTGTTACGCGATTTCCGGGATGTAAAGTAGCCTATGTGCTATTCCTGGACGTCAGCTTCCTGTATACAAAATTTTATAAAAATCGGTTCAGCCGTTTGAACGTGAAGAAGTAACAAACATACACACACACACACACAAACTTTCGCAATTATAATATTAATAGGATTATTAATTAAACATATTTAGTAAAAAAACATTCAGTTATGCAGCTTTGAATGCATATTAAAGTCGAAATTGACTGAGTTTTAAAGAAAGGAGCTATATGTTTTATGTTTCTGTACTAGATGCTGTTGAAATGTTCAATCGGTAATTACTTGGAGAAGCAAATTATGAAAACGGATAAGCCAGATTTAAGTTTATTCACCATGGAGAAGTATGAAGCTATAACTAAATACAAAACATCATACTACACCTTCCAAATGCCTGTTGGCTTAGCTCTTTTAATGGCTGGAGTTGATGACCCAGAAACACACAGACAAGCTAAAACTATTCTACTAGAAATGGGTGAATTCTTCCAAATTCAAGTGAGTATCAACTAAATATATAAATATAATTCAGTTAAATTGCTATCATCACATTGGCTTTAAATTGAAAACCGTTGCTTAAAAAACAATGAATCATGAAGCATTAATAAAAAAGTATATAGCGCATTAATGTATTTGAATGTGAGTGTTAAAATTAATGTGTTGTCTATTATATGACCTTCACAGTATGTAAATAAAAAAAAACATAAGATCTATGAATAATTTCAAATAAATATTTATGATTCTTTTATAATTTTCAGGATGATTTCCTAGATTGTTTCGGCGAGCCGTCAGTTATAGGTAAAAATGGTACAGATATTCAAGATGGTAAATGCACTTGGCTAGCTGTGGTCGCGTTACAGAGGGCGACACCGGCGCAGAAGCAATTAATGGAAGATCACTATGGTAGTTCGAATGTAGAAGATGTTCAGAAGATAAAGGATTTATATGAAGAACTACAACTGCCTCACACTTACTCAGTATACGAAGAAGCCACATACGACCTACTTAGAACACAAATACAACAAGTCACTAGAGGATTACCACACGATTTGTTCTTCAAAATCCTAGATAATATCTTCAGGCAGAGCATTTAGATTTAAATCGTAATAGCTATAAGTTAGAGTTTAATTTACTAAATATGTTACCTGAATGAATATTATTTCGCTGTCATTTATTATGAATTATATGATAGAGCAAGAGCCAGTTCCAGCCAGGCATTCGTCAATTTACAAAAACTGAAAGTTTTTCTATAGATGTACCCAATACAGGTAGTCACGAATCCCCACCTATGAAATTTGGGTCGCGGTGACTTTGGCAGGTAACACGTTCTAAAGGTGTATAAAATTTTCTTTCATTTTCCTCGTAGTACAAAATTCAGTTTTGATATATTTTCATCGTAATAATCTTAGAAATCACGCTGTAAATTGCCAGGCACTTAGTAAGGTGGGAACCCCAGCCAGGCACCCCTAAATTTATAAGTAATTTTATTTGTCCTTTCTTTAAATTATATAACCTGATTTTTATGTATGTTACTGAGGAAAGTATTAAAATATATTTACTCAGTAGCCAGGCAGTTTCGATGGTGCTTTTACCTGGCCAGGCACACTGAAAGTCTTCCGTAAGTGCGAGAGGAAGGAACATATCCTCGATGAAGTTACGAATAGATATGTTCATGTTTACATTTTATAGGTATTTAGTTACTTAGAAGACACATTTAGTTACTTAGGACAAATTTTTCTCATTAAATGCTTTTTCAAATATAAACGTACAGACAGTAGGCTCTTCGGTTTCTGAATAATACTTTCTTTATGTATTATATAGATCAGTCATTGAGTAAAAAGATGGTTCTAAAGTTTCGATGGTGCTTTTCGCGGGAGCGGCAGGATCTTACGCATATAATGAAATGGACCGACCCTCGAATACAGCGGTGCAGGAGCAGAGCGGTGCACGGGTGCACTCCAGTTAAGCGGTGACCGCCCGCGTTGCGCGTCTGTATTGTAGGTATAGTGTTGTAAATTGTTTTTGTGACGTATCAAAATGTCAAAACGTTTTTCAGACATTTCGTTCGCGAATAAAAACAAATATCTCGACAACACAACCACGAACACAACACTACACCGCTATAGTGCCGCGCGATCTGCCCGCTAGTTTGGAGAACAGGTATGCGTTGCCCGCGCCGCCGCCGCCACTCCGCTGCCCGCAAAATTAGAGGCAGAGGCCTTAGTGCTCTCGGTCTATTGCGAGCTTATACTGCGCATCAGCTGTCATTTAGCAATGTATTCTGTGTGAACTATTTTGTAATTTAACAAATTAATCGTTACATAAAATTATTGAAGAAAGAAGTATTAATTTTAGACAAATTATGCAGAAAAATTTTCTTTTCAATAAGTTACTACATCTAAAATCTAACAGTTTAATTAAAACTGTTTTGAAAAATTCTACATTTCAATGTTTATTCAAATTAGAATCACAATATTAAAAAAAAATGTATTATGGGAGGGGATAAGTAATTTGTCAATAAGAAATTTAACGAAAAAGAAATGACAGCTGATGCGCAGTAGAAGCTCGCAATAGACCGAGCGCACTATCTCACACGCACTCAGATATATCATCGATGAAGTACCAATACCTTGTAACTGACAATTTAGTTCAAAAGTACTTTTTTATTACAAAAGACATAAAACTCACATTCGCAAAGATTGAATTCACTTCTATCCAATATTTCTTTACCAAACAGTTTCTTGAGCTATGTCGAAATATCTAGTATATAATATCAGCAACAAATTATTTTTAGAACCATCTTTTCACGCAATGACTGATCTATATAACACATAAAAAAAGTATTGTTCACAAACCGAAGAGCCTACCGTCTGTACGTTTACATTTGAGAAAGCATTTAACGAGAAAAATTTGTCCTAAGTAACTAAATTTGTCTTCTAAGTAACTAAATACCTATAAAATGTAAACATGAACATATCTATTCGTAACTTCATCGCGGATATGTTCCTTCCTCTCGCACTTGCGGAAGACTTTCAGTGTGCCTGGCCAGGTAAAAGCACCATCGAAACTGCCTGGCTACTGAGTAAATATAATTTAATACTTTTTTTTTACATAATTCGAATGAGAATCATGTACCGAGTATTCTCCGTAAATATTGATAGTAATTCACCAGTCACCCTGTATAATTTGAAGAAAAGACAAATAAAATTACTTATAAATTTAGGGGTGCCTGGCTGGGGTTCCCACCTTACTAAGTGCCTGGCAATTTACGTGATTTCTAAGATTATCACGATGAAAATATATCAAAACTGAATTTTGTACTACGAGGAAAGTGAAAGAAGATTTTATACAGGCTGGCCCTGGCTCTTGGACTATGAGTGACATTTGTGCATGAAGTAAATGTTATGTCAAAAAAATACTCCATTATCATTTAAAAGTGACAGATCAGGTTTATGAACTAAGATTATTTATAAGAATTATTTTTAATCTACATTCATATATTCCTTAATACTGATAATTTATAAAAAAAAAGTTATATTTCATATATTCTCATAGTCGTCCATATTTATAATTATTTTGTTAAGTAATCAACTGACAACTTCTCAAATATTATTCCCAGGCTGGATGTGATCTAATCTAATTAGTGTTGTGCTAAAAAAATAAATGTGATATGAATATCGATAACGATTTTTATTTCGAACATATATAAATAACTTTTTATTTACTTCACTATAAAAGTTTACAAGAACACTTAAGCGGAATATTTTATCATATGTATTATTAATTAAAGAGCACGAATTTTATTTATTAGTTTTTATCCCCAATTTTTCATTAGGTTATATTTGTTCTGAATTATCTAAAGCGTTTAATATAATGTAGATAAATAGAAATTCTATCTTTTTGTTTTGAAGAAGATAAAGACAGGCTGCAACAAAACAGGTAATGGCTGTTAGTGATCTTTATTTAATTCATCCATTTACCAAAGACAAACAGGGATCTTAATCTTAATCTTAACCTTTATAATAAGCTACCCCTTATACTAAGAAACTTCAGTTTCACAAGTAAATCTATCATCATGATAGTATCACTTAATCTATATGAATGACAGGTGGGTGATTGCCCTTTTAAGCCGGCCATACACGCTATGGTCTACCGGAGAGGCCCACATGTGCAGGTTAAATGGAAAGTGTGTGTGTGCAGTTTTTTGAACGCTACCATTTTTCGGTTTAACTACCCAGGTATACCTGCACAGATTAAGTCTTTGGTAGATCTTAGCATGTATGGCGGCAGGTATGCCTGTGCAGGTCAACCGAATAATGGTAGCATGAATGGGAACTTTTTCTGTTGGATGACACATTGGCGTTGCTAGGTTTTCCTTTCGTTTTGACGAAATATGATACGAAAAATAAGCAAAGAATGTGGTGTAAGCATTGGTTATTGAAATAGAAAACATACAGCCAGGTTGTTTTTTTTAAATGAATTGAAATTTGACCTCGATCATTTTGTTTCAATATATCTCTCATGTTAATATAGGCATGCTCGGGAGTCGGGAGTGAGGTTTCCTATTTCTGCTTCAAACAGTAAATCATTAATTAGTTTATCTGCGACTATTATTTGTTTTACATTATACATTCCTGAGTAGGCATAGTTAGGCATAGGCATAGGCATTCTACCTGAGTAGACATACTTGCACAGGTGGCCCTCTCCAGTAAACCGTGGCGTGTATGGCCGGCATTAGTTCAACAAATGGCACCTACACTACTATTATATTGTTAAATATAGGGGTACCTATATTTAACAATATAATAGTATTGTAGGTTTGCATAATCACACTACATACGAAACGTTTTGCGTTTCTCTTTCAATAAATTAAGCTAATCCTCTTTTTTAATTCCAATGTGCAAAGATTTATGAGTGAAAAACTTTACTTTCCGTGATGATGCCAATTTGGACTAGGCATTTTGAATGTTCTTAATTTAAGTATTTTAATTTACTTGAGTGCTTATAATTAACTTATGTTAAAAAATATACAGGGTGACTGGTGAATTACTATCGATACTTGAGGACGTGATATTTGACGATCATATATAACAAAATAAAAATTAATATAACATAAATATTAATAAACTTCTAAGTAAAGTTAACCAAAAGTTATGTAATTAATTACGCATCGCGTGAATACCCTACAGATTAGGTATACACACACACACACACACACACACATACGCGTGCGGCGGCGTGGTGTTGTATCAGCATAATTCGAATGAGAATCATGTACCGAGTATTCTCCTTAAATATTGATAGTAATTCACCAGTCACCCTGTATATATAAATCAAAAGTCATTAAATATCAATAAAAAGTTCAATATAAAAATATTATTAATTTATTACATGTACATATAAGATATACATTATACATATAAGATAAAGTGAATTTATAATCATATTTAGAAAAAAAAACTTGTTCACAATGAAAAATATAAAGATATATAAAAATAAAAAATATATATGTATTGTGAAGTTTTTAAAAAATACAGAGATACTGTATAGATTTAGAGGTTAATATAAATTCTGTGCGAAGAGTTTGAAATTAACTTCTGCTTTGGCCTTAATCTGCTTGTATAGGTAGCTCTCTAACAATAGACTAATTATAACTAACGCTATTAAAAGATTACCCACAAATCGAGAGAGATTTCTTTAAAGTGCCATGCCAGAGTTCCAGAAGTAAATTATTTTTTATAACAGAGGTTCATTGGAACCTTTACAAACATTTAAATAAAAACGACAAAAGTGGTATCCAATAACATATACAAAGGCAAAATAAAAAACGAAAGAGACATAAAATATTTTTTTTATTCATTAAAGTATCAAAGAACCTAAGACTAATTTTGGTGTATTATACACAAGATATTATAATTAATTTAATTCCAAATAAATGCACGTCAGTATTCTTGAATAAGTAAGTTATCAAGTCAAGTGAAAATAGTCTTGATTTCAATCAACATCAGTACAAACTGACAACTACACATTGACATTGGCATCTTGAAATGTGTCAATCTCATATGACATATACCTATAGGTAGGTGGATATCGATACAAGTCAGAACAGTTAACGTCAAATAGTGATAGTAGAAGGGGGTTTGTGTTATTGTACTCCTATTTGTTATCTTCAAGAATTTTATTAACTGTAAGTACATGCTTCACAATTAATAGAATTATATAAGAGACATACCAAAAATAAAACCTAATTGTTATTTTAAAGGAATTTCATTGAGGAATTCACCACATATTTCTAGAGAAAGTGGTTGGCGCGCAGTCTAAATCAGGATGAATTCTATCACAAATATATTCAGAATAATTAACACAAGCAGTAGAAGCTTAAGAACATTAAGGTATGTAGGTTTTTGGGTTTGCTACATCCATTTACGAAACAAATTTAATATCACTTATCTTGCGGTTAATATTAACGACAAAAATATTATGGTGTAAGTATACGAAAATTTATTTACCATTGAGAATATGTATTTTAAACTTCACATATAATATTAAAAAATCATAGGCATAATTTAGCAATATGTATTATATTTATTTATTCATGAGATCAGAGTACTCAATCCTCATTGCGTAGATGAAGTCATTTATTGAACACAAACAAAAAATCTTAAATATTACAATCTTAGTTATAAAATTTATTCTTAAAAAATATACAATCTTATTTTTCTTAAAGGACTTATTGTTAATATTAATATAAAGTATAAATATACTTTTCTGTTTTTGAGTACATTGATATAGGTGATACACAACTAAATACATAATATTATATTTAATTTGGAAATTATCAGAAGTCCTCAACTATGTTTATTTTATAATGTGTGTCTAGAATCATATTTAAATATGAAATCAACAAAAATTACATACATTAATTTTAATAAATTTATTTTGATATACTTACACTGTCAAGCATATGTATTGTAAATATTTATATAAAAGATGGAATGTAAACTGGAAATATGTACTTTTTTACAGTTACATAATTTAGAACTATTTATTGTTATCCCCATGTGTTATTTAATTATATTACATTTTTTAATATATTGATATCTTCTTCTTCCTGGCATTTTCCCAGCTTTAGCTAGGGTCTGCCTTTTTTTAAAATATATTAATATATATACATAATTGTATATATTTTCAAGTAAGAATTCAGCTAATAATATGATATCTACATTATATAATCTTCCTCTTTCTGGCAATTTCCCAGCGTTAGCTAGGGACTGCCTTACATGTTGTAAATAGTTTTGGCTAATTGTTTTTACGACCGGCCGCCTGCCTGACATCAACCCTCTTTGAGAATGCATTAATCACCATGCCTGCTCCAGACGGGGTGATGATTTCAAACTTATAATTGTGAAGTTATAAGTCTAGGTTTCCTCACAATGTTTTCCTTCACCATTTGTCAGTGATGTCTAAATCTGATAGTACATATGACTCCAAAATAGTGGTAAAAAAAATCAAATTGGTACTTGCCAGGATAGAACCCGCACCCTCATGCATGAGAGGCCGGCCTTTAATACATTAGATAATCTATATTTTTGGAATATACCCCACAGTAAAACCTCAACTATGATTTAATTTTTTTTTCAGCTTCATCATTTAAATTCCTTATGTTGTAAAAAAATATTTTATTCATTCAATAATGTTACATTACCAAATGATATGTGCTTAGCATAATCTAAATATCAAAAGTCAAATATACATATTTCAAATATCCCAGCATATTTGAATTTGAATATGACATTACACAACAAAATGTTTTATCATAAATCTTAACATGATGCCCGATTGTTTATTTAAGATAGTTCCATTGTTATATCTGTATTTTAAAGCCACAGAATAAAATAATCTATATTATCTGTGGTGATATTTACATTTGAAAAGATTATATAAATTTTAACAGAACCAATAACTGTTTAAAGCTATGTTTAATTGAGAATTTAACAGTTGATTGTTGTCTGTTATACAATCAGGTCTTCTGTGGGCAAGTTACAATTTATATCTTTATTATACTTAAATAAAATAATAATTGCAATTTATATTATTTACACATTTTATTGCTTTAATTTCATGCAGCTATGTTTAATTTCATTAAAGGAAAAAAACGTTACCGAACAGGAAACTCATATTAATTTATAAGTGTTATGATTGCATTATATTGCATGGATTTAATTTTATTACATAGTATAAAAAATAATCCTCTTACATAATTGTTTTTTTCTTTAGTTTCACATGTATGTAGATGTATTTAAATAAAAAAAACACTTATTTTCAATGATATTTATTACCTTTACAGTATACCAGGGCAGCATATAGCTAAGATGGCTACAAACGCGTCTGTATCAGAAATGCAGAAAGAGAGAGAATTGTTTTTAGATGTCTTCCCAAGTATTATGGACACATTGTTAACGAAAACCAAGTTCTCTAACATACCGCATGTCGCTAATTGGACCAAAAAGGTGAGATTTCTACAATAATTTTTATACTCATAAATATATTCATTGCGTAAATATCAAAATAGTTGCCGTATATTAATCCTATTGAAAATATTCATCATATTTTAGAGTATAAGTTGGGATTAACATTAATTTGCAGTTATAGGCTCTATATGGTTTTTTCCATAATGTTTACATTACAGGTACTTGAATACAATTTGCAAGGCGGTAAGAAGAATCGCGGACTTTCGGCTGCTCTTGCATATGAGATGCTAGAAGATCCGGAGAAAATAACAGAGGAAACTCTCAGAATCAGCAGAGTGCTGGGCTGGTGTGTTGAAATGGTAACGTATTTTGATCCTTATGATTAAATACAGAGAGCTTAAATTTCAAGTTCATGATAATAGACCTATGCCAGGATCTTAGTCGATGTGGAATTGATATTTTTTATTGTGAAGCCTAAGTAACTTATTACGTCAACTATCTACAAGTGAAAGTGCTATCAAAATAGGTCGTTGTATAGATTAGACAGAAACAGATAGATTGACGGACATAAAATCGAAAAAAGAAATGTTACATGTGCCATGTATAAATTCTTTTGCATTAAGCAAAAAAGCAGTTATTTTGATATTAAAAACAGAATATTTAATTTTATTTTTTAGTACAGTTAAAACGAGTTTTGAACCAGTCTTATTCAAATGTTGCTTATACTGTTACTTTAATTTTAACAGTAAAATCAGAGTTTTTTTTTACAAAAATCGTAGGGAAATACAATCTCAAACTATAAATTTAAATATAATAATGCCACTATATTTCAATTTTAATAATCCTTTTTATAATAAAACTCGCTTCAAGGAACTAGATAATAATAAAAATGTTGAACTGTTTCTTCAATAATTGAGATCTGTAAATAACAATTAGCTATTGAATTTATAATTATTATGTCTAAATAATTACAAAACATGTGTATTTTAGATGGTTATGAGATTAAAATAATTTCAATTATGATCACGCCCAAGTAAGAGTACTTAAGTTTTAAGAGTAATGGTCTTGATTGAAATTACTAAAAGTGAAATGGTATTACGTTTTTGGAATGAATACGCGGTTTCATATCAATATTTTACATATTTCTAATGTTTCGGTTACTTAACAGAAAAACGATGTATGAATAACGTGCTCTTTATATAAAAAATACTAGCTTTCCGCCCGCAACTTCGCCTGCGTGGAATGCGGTACATGGCGTTTCCAAGAGAACCTTTCAAAAGTCTGGGATAAAAACTATCCTTTGTTCTTTCTCGAGGTCAACTCTATCTCTGTACCAAATTTCATTAAAATAAGTTCAGAGGTTTAGGCGTGAAAGCGTAACAGACAGACAGAGTTACTATCGCATTTATAATATTAATAGGGATATCATAATTGTCATTTAAAGATAGAGAGCCACTGCAAGAAAACTGTCCAATGAAAAAAAAAGCATGAGGAACGGTTGGTTGTTTGAGAGTTACGATCTCACACACAGATAAACTTACACACACACACACACATACGTACAAAACTACATCAAACTTATTAGGCTCATCTTTTTGCGTCGATATATGAAAAAATATTGAAATGAAAAGTATTAATAAAACGGCTAAACAACATTTCGACCGTTTTTATTACGACAAATCCTTGACAGTACCTACGTCTGTTCGGTATTATTATTTCTCACTACTTACTTTCTTAATACTTTATTATTAGTATTACTTTATATAATGCTTCATAAAAATATTACGATGAGTTTATACAGAAAAAAATATGTTTGTTTGAATAATTGTATTAAATTATACAAGTGTGACGTCACCATAAGCCAGTGGTGGCCTTGTGGTTAAAGGGCCCGCCTCTCGTTGCCGAGGGAGCGGGTTCAAACCTGGCAAGTACCAATGTGATTTTTCGGAGTCATATGTACTTTCTGAGAGTATTTAGACACCACTGACATACGGTGAAGGAAAACATCGTGAGGAAACCTGGACTTATAATTTCACAATTATAAGTTTGAAATCACCAACCCGTTTTGAGCAAGCGTGGTGACTAATGCTCAAACCTTCTCCATGTGAGAAAGAGGCCTTTGCTCAGCAGTGGGCTCTGATAGGCTGATGATGATGTGTGACGTCACTATTGATAATAATGTATTTTTTTATCCTTATATAGCTGCAATCGTATTTGGTGGTTGTGGATGATATGATGGACGGAGCTACCAAACGCCGCGGTATTCCTTGCTGGTATTGTTTACCTAACGTGGGACTTGGGGCCATTAACGACTCCATTTTGATATATTCAGCGCTAAAAGAGATATTGGCTGCATATTGTAAACATTTGCCTCAATACCCGCTCATTGTAGATGAGTATGATGAGGTAATTTTACTTTTTATTTCAATTCCTTTTAGCATTTACCTTTTAGCTTCAATTGTCGGTTTTTATTGATGCTATGCACAAATAAAACGCTTTAGCAACTTTTAAATCAAATTTTAATTGTCAATACATATGATATGACAGTGTTGCTAGTTCAAAAAAATATAGTTAAGAAATTATTTATACTTGTTTTTTTTTAGGCGTTGTTATACACAACTGTGGGTCAGCACTTGGACTTTGAAATGGCTCACAGGCACAAAAAGGACTACAGTCTGTTCACAACAGAGAAATATAATTCTATAGCGAAGTTTAAGACCGCGTACTATACGTACAAATTACCTGTCAGTTTGGGTTTATTGTTGGCAAATAAGACGGATCCCGAAACACACAAAAAGGCGGAGAGTATATGTATTGATATAGGACTTTTGTTCCAAATGCAGGTAATAATAATTTTTTATCATTCATTCTTCAATAACAATTTTTTTAACTATAACTAACCACTCGGTGTTAATTGCTAATATTAGTTAAATTGGAATATGTATATTTGTAATAATCTAAGAAAAAATACTTCATATAAACGAACAGCATATATTAAAAGTAAACCTATTTTCGTCATTTTTAAATCTCAAGTAACTTGAAAATTTTCCAAAAAACATTTCTGTATTTATATTTCAAACCCTATTATTGTTTCAGGATGACTTCATAGACTGCTTTGGAGTTGAGACACTGACCGGTAAGATTGGTAACGATATTCAAGAAGGAAAATGTTCTTGGCTGGCCGTTCAAGCATTACAACTTTGCAGTCAAAAACAGAGGACTGTGTTTGTATCATGCTATGGAAGCCCTGAACCGGCTCATATAGAGAGAGTTAAAAGATTATATGAAGAATTAGAACTTCCAGCATTATATCATAGGACTGAGAAACATTTGTATGACACAATTGTTAAGAATCTAGAACAATTACCACCAGACAGCATGTCACCAAAGTTATTCATTAAGCTACTCGACCTCATTTATGATAGGAAGAATTGAATATTAATATCAAACAGTCATATATATAGGACATTATAAATTTAACGGGTATAGGAATGAAAAGTTTGTTTTCCTTGTGGAAACTATATGAATATTATAAGGATTTAATATCCTTTGATAACTTACTACTTAAAATATGTGTTTTATATATATATATAAAAATCATAAAGCTATTTTTATTTGATATATTTTTAATGAATGACTATTTTGTATACACTTATAGTCTTATATATATATTTAGACACTTGATTGAAGTTACATTTTAATATCAACTGACATGTGTATATGTGTAAAATAAAATAGAAAGATTTGAAAGGTTTGTTAAACTGTTAATGTCTTGTGGTTATCGTTTACAAGAGAAATTCAAGTAAGTGATAATTGATATGTGTATGGGTATATTTATTTTCAATAATAGTTTTATAGTTTTTATGGAAAATATGAAATTCTTCTATTACAAGTATAAAATATTTTAAAATTATTGATTAAATAATTTTTAAAAACTAAAAACCGATCCATAATATTTTTTATGATCACCATATTTCATATACACCAAAGTATTAATGTTTTTACATATTTTACATGTTAAAATTGACCCATCGGTAATCTTTATATATTTTAATAACGTTTGAATAATTATGAATTGTGGGTGAATGGTGAAAGGGAGGTTGTATTATTATATAATAATGAAATAAATAAAATATGAAAAAAGTCTTTGATTTATGCAATTTCATATGTATCATGTAGTCAGTAGTAGGATATTAAATACGCTAAAACTGAGCATTTACTTCAAAATATATTTCTTAATATGAAAAATCCTTCAAAAAGATTATAATTTACAATGAAACAAATATAATTCTATGATATTATATTCCAAAAATATAATGTTATACATAACATTGTTTCATCGATATTTACGTCAAGTTTACAACCGATACATAATATAAGAAAAGATTGTACACTACCTTACAAACAAACCAATGTTACATCATACTGTTGGCGCTACAAATAATTTAGTTCAGTGATATCATTAACAAAAAAATACTTGGCAGTACAGTAGTGACAATTTTGTGTTAATCAGTATGATACTCCACAGAGGTTGAATTTCACTTATGGCAACTCAAAGATCCTAAATAAATTTAAAAAAAGTAATAACACAATTCATGCGAAGGCAATGCACCCATGATATTTTAAGTTCGTAAATTCATTCCGAACTAAATACTTAATAGACACTACGTGTTTACTCAGTTATTATTTATTTTTTTCGTAATAATTTTGCGTCGAAACGTTTACATGTGTTATGTGCTAATATAATTTTGACTAGTAAGCACCAATTGACTAAAATACATGTTAATATTCTTAAATGAAATATTTACACCAAGTGGCTAACAAAATTTAGCCAAACCACGAAGCTTGGATTATTATGAATATGTTCTAGTAAATTATAAGAGAAACCTTCCATACATACAAACCAGAATACACTTCAACTAATTTTAATACTATGTCTGTACAAAATAAACGTTTGAGCGAATCATATAAAATTAAGCCCTATAAACCAACATTTTACATTAATCATTAGGTAATGATATATAGATATTAATTAACAATATATATTATAAATATTAAAAATATATATTAACTTTATATTCAGCAAGCATTTCTTATATGCTATTCTTGGTACGTTACAGCGTTGGATACTTTATGTAAACATTGCATACAAGAAGCTGGATATATAAAAACTGTATGTGTGTCTGTTGTATAATAAAAGGCGTTAACAAATAATATTCGGTGGTATACAATAAGTTTTCAAAACACTCCCACCAATAAACAATTCTTCGTTTATACAGCATACCTGAAACATACGTAATAATTAATTTGTATAACTTCAACCTATTCAAAGTAAAGTAACAAGAACAAAACAACCCTTTAGGTGTTTATTTAGAAAACGTTTTGTATAACAAAAAGATTAGTAAAGAAAAAAAAAATATAATAACATATGTGACTACTATATAAAGAAGATAGTTTATATTATATATATACATAAGGAAAGGTAGTAATAATAGAAAATATATTCCATTAGAAGATGCTTGTTCTAATATCACATTGTATCGTATGAAATATACATCTCTTCTATATAGAAAGTATAGTACATAAGAAAAGATAATAATCATGGTAGAAAAATATTCATTTAGCATAAAGACAATAGTTCTAATAACAAAATACCTCCTCACTATACAGGATGTTCACAATGTATCGTCCGGTGCTAGAAGCGGTAATTGTGACGCGTGTACAAGTCGCCTGTGAGCTTCTGACCCAGTTAACACGGCGATAGTGACTCCCGCCTGGTATGACGCGGGTATACGGACGTGACGTGTACGTGTACCCTGTTCAGACCACCCTGTAGATCTCCACTCACGTATTACGTTGGCGACTTGACCTTTAATATTAAATATATTAAGATTAATATACTAATAATAGAAGCATCATGATACTTAATGAGATCTAAGATTTTCGCGACTACTCATTTAAATGAAACTAATATTTTCGGATTTTAATTCGCGTTTTTAATTTTGATTACAATGTAAGTCACATCTCGTCTGCCCGTGATCACGGTTGCTGTAAAGTAGCCGAAACGTCGGGAGTATGTAGTTTGTAATCAAAACTAAAAACGCGAAGCGAATTCCGAAAATATTAGTTTCATTCAGTTTATGTGATTATAATGATTGAGAAATTGAAAAAAATGTTTAATCCATTCCATGTGCAATAAAAATATAAGATTTGAAAGAACTAATATACAGTAGTAAACGATCAATTTTAATTGAAATGAAGACCAAATGGTTGTGGTTAAGTTTTTAGACGTTACTTTTAAGTTATCAAGCTAAACGATTAGTTTTTAAGTTAAATGAGGACCAAATGGTTGTGGTTGATAAATATATGTACCTAATACATTGAATGTATGAAAACGTCTGTCGGGCACGAACATGAGTGGCGTTAAATCAGTGTCTGGTGTGAATCTGGCGAGCACGTCGCGACTCCGTACGAGGAGTACAGAGGGTGATGTCAAACGAGGCCATAGAACAGATTCACGGAGACATTCCAAGGGATTCGTCAGATAAACACCCTGTGAAGACACTCCGAATATCATTTGGTGATGCCAAGAGTCCGGTATTTCACCCTCGCAGCCGACCTGCATGTTCATCGTTAGTATTGGTACTGCACCTGGAATATTAGATGTTTTTCATTTATTGATGGCTGAATCCAAAGCCATATTTATATTTTTTTCATGTATGAGATACTAATTCTATTCATAACATTTTAGCGGTCGGTGTTTTTAAAAATTTCTAACTTGCAGAGTATAAGAGCCGCACAGATCATTTCTTAACTGCCAATTTCTTAAAAAATATGGTAAAATTGAAACTACTTTAAAGTACATAATATGTTAACAAAAATAAAAATATGTTAACAAACAAAATGTCCGTATATACGCTGAAAGCTTCCCTTTTGGTTAACAGAACAAAAAGAACATTTTCCGACTTCAGTGACGATTTGGTGAGTTTGGTGAGTAGTGTTAGAACTATAAAGCAGTGACTGAGTCATACTTAAAAGTGTTAAACTTTCTGCACACTTTCCCAAGATATAACTGGTGACACCGTAGCAACACCATATTAAAAGACCAAGAACGGTTTTTTCAGCAAAATTCGACACCCTACAAAAAAGTCTTGATAAACAGAATCTCGCTTAGAAACTAATATTCCAGACTTCCTCAGAGCTGAAAACTGGCTGTCATCTAATCTTGATCTTAACCCTAGTTTATGGTCAGTTTTAGACAGTAAAGCTTGTGCTAAATAAGGCTTGTTCTTAATACAAGAAAATTGTTTTATTCGTAACAATATTACCACCATATGAGGTAGGACTAAATGTAGTGGGTAAAATATTTAAATATGAAATTCTAACAAATTTAATAAACATTAATAAGAGTATATTTATTACTATTCAATTAAGTGATCCTATTATAGGAAAGCTAAGTAAAGTTTGCCCATCACTCTAAGATTATTGTTAGCTTGTCGGAGACATTTTCCAACCATAGCTCATTCAATTAGCCACGCGGTTAGTGACAAAACTTAGTAACAGCCCCAGCTGTTTTATGATAGTTATACAAGATATTGTATTCGTCATTTGATGCAAAATATATTCTCACACAAACTTGAACATCAACAACTAACAAATGGCATTAAACCGCTGTTCCTTTCGAAATATGACGCAATTTTCTGTTTTTCCTATTACTTTCCATTAGACTACGCCACTTTCCCTTTAATTTTTTATACTTATTGTTATATTAATAATTACATACCAAGTGATATCCAATCAGCAAGCCAATGACTAAGAGACACGGCTCGTTCAGGGTAAGTAGGGAAAAACCTCGCTGTGAGAAGACCATCAGACGCACGCTGCAAACACCTCACGAGATCCGCGGCCGTGCAACCGGCGACTGATCGAGACAATAGATACCTGGAATAGAGGAAATTACTAGTTAGTTCCCTTATATGGTGAAAAAAATATATAGAGATCCTATTGAGGTATACTTGGGTATTTTTAGGGTACGGAATTAAATAAAGGTTCATGACAAACAGTCTATAATGGAAATATTATAGTATATGAAACTGCCCGTAATATAACATCAGGTTTTGTATCATTAGAAATATATATACTTATAAACACATATATAGAGGATCCAAAAACAACTAAGCATCAAAATAGCTGAATACTAATGTGTCAATGAAGCATAAAAAATTTACTTCATCATTAATTTTATTATAAATAAATATTATACAAACATACGAAATCATACCTTGGTATTGGTGCATAATATGCTCTAAGTCTGGTTCCTATGGATGAATTAATCCTCTCTAAATTAACGGGGACACCCAACGCTATCTGAAAATAAATAATTAGCCGACTAAAGCATAATAACTAATTTAATTTGATAATCATAAAATTTTCAGAATGTAGTTATTAAATATATATTATTATGTACATCTAAGTTAATATAAAGATTGTGATCAAAAGCTTATATGTGTATTATAATTTCGACTTTTCTGAACACTTACTAGCAATACTACGATTTAATATAACTAGCAACACTCACAAATACATTAACGACGGCCGTCGCCCCACAAGCACTGGTCGCTATTTGTGGGACTTGCCGCTCGCAGGCCTCTCGTTCAGACCACACCATACATCTAGGTACTTCGACACATGCGATACTGCATTCTGATGTATTTGATGGCTTATCAACCTCCTTTAAATAAATAAATACAAATAAAAATATTCAATATCACTTATCAGCTTATTTGAACACTTAAATGTATACAAAATTTATTTAATATGTTTACATGACTTAACTGTTTTTGTGTTTTACCCACATTATTATTATTATTATTATTTATTAATTTTCTCATGTAAGTGACTTGTATTTTTAATGAGAAATAAATATTCTTTAAACCTAAACCTCAATTAGTATAATTTGAAAATTCCAATATATTAGATAATCAAAGGTATAGTATAATTTATATAATAACTACCGAACTAGCAGCATCTTGACTTTCGATATCTAACTTAATTTTATCTTTCATAAGTTTCTTGGCCATGTTGAGATGGTATAAGACAGATGATAGATTTGATGATTCAAACGCCGGCCTCTCCCCTTGATTGATTTGATGAGCAAAGGGCGCTTCGGCTTGTTCTTCTTCATCTAAAATTGTAAACTTGAAAATAAAAAGTTAAGGAAAATGCATGCATTTTAATGATATATGGATACACAAATTTTAATGAGATCTAAAGCTTTCGCGAGTATTCATTTAAATACAACGAATATTCTTGGATTTACTACGTGTTTTTTTTAATTCTTTTAACTACATTCTCACTAAGTTACGGTTACGTTGCAGCAACGACGATTACGGGCAAAATGATTACGGCGAAAAACGTGTAGTAAATGTTAATAAACTACAGTTATAATTTATATAAATATAATTCCAAATAAGTATAAAAACGTATTAAAAACTCTTCTTGTAGTAATAAATATTATAACAGTTTTGTATGAATAATAATACTTACAATTCAAAATTTCTCTCGGTGATATTAAGTCACCGCTCGAAATATGTACAGTGACAGGATGAGTTGTGTTAGAATGTGACATTGTCCGACGTACCAACAAATGTTCCCCTCTCGCATTTATATGAGTGATAAACGGTCCAAAAGTTTGAACTGATCTGGTATTATCTGGTATACTCTGTGGCATTTCTACTCCTTGACTCGTAGATGGCACATTACAATAATGAATTTGTACTTCCGATGGCTGAGATTGTGTCGAGCTACAAGCAACAACTATTGGCACTGCAGCTGGCAAATATTCAGGAGATGTGCCTCTAATTACAGGCTCATTCTCTTCTGGCATATTAGCACACTCTAAATCCTCATCGGGAGTTGATTCATCTCCAGTATCCACCTCACATGAAGGCCCTGGATCAAAATCCATTTCTAGAAAGTCCATATCCGGACTTGATGCTCTTGAAGCTTGTTCTCTAACATTGGCAGCTGGGGCTTGATAATTTGGTGGCATCGGTAGGTGCTTATCAAGAGGTAAACCCATATCTAAACTATAGAAGGAACTCGGCAAATCTGCTAAGTGTTCACCACCTCGGTATGTATATATACAGCCATCTTCGGAGCCTAAAGAATAGTCATCATTGCCAGTATCACTAGAGCTTTCATCAGCATCTAAATTAGGTTTATTTAATTTTAAGGTAGATGGCCTTTTCTTATTTTCTCTTAAATCAAAAGTATCTGGCAAGTTCTCTAAAACTTTGCTTGAAGATGCACCACTAGTAGATGGTGCATTAAAATTGTAAGAAGTCCCTGCACTGCCCAAACATACTTTATGTTTTTGACACGTTTGTTTATCCTGATTGGGTTCTAAGGGATTATCACGAGAATTTGTATCTGAAGCGGTGCAACTTGTAGATTCGAGATTTGCGGTAGTGTTATTGATGTTATTTGTCATTTGTGTGTCTTTATTTCTATGTTGTTCTGTAATAGAGGGCAGTCTATTTGATGTCTCATTTAATTCATTACTCACTGAGGTCGTACTTCTACCTTTAGATCCGTTTTGTGAGTTATAACAAACATCGGTTTCATGTGACATTGATGTAAACACATTTTCATCACAGTCACCTTGCCCTCGTTGTTTTGATGTGCTACTACAACTGTTGGTTTTATCACTTTCACGATCACATTTGTTACGACTTACAGCTGATGTTGATTCTTCTCTAGAATCCATAGCTACAAATATAATTTAATAACAATCGGCATTGTAGTTTAAGGTTACTAATAATTTTACTCTTAATTCTAAACTTTTGTACGGTCACAAATCGAAACTGAAGAATATTTTTCACACATTTATATTATATATTAACACAAAAAGTAGTTTTCAGTTGGAAATTATAGGAATATAACATTAAAAACAAACCAATTTTTAATATACCAACTGACAGGTAAAAATTGTCTATGTTTTCATAAATATCAAAGTTGAAAATTCCTCAAAGGGTCTTATTAGAATAAAACCAAACTTAGAGGTTTAATAAAATAGTTATCTTCTACTATAGAAACTAAATAATATTTTATATGCTTGTTTTACTTGTTTCTAAAACAAAACATGAGTTATCTAAACTAACAACTACTGTTTTTGGTTCTTCTATCTATGACACTGTCAATTTTATAAAATTTTATAATGACACACTGAGACTGCTAAGCCAGCTGTAAGTTTTATAAAAACTACGTCGTATTGTCTCGAATCATATTACTTAGATTCTTGTGTAGTGATTTATTAATACTTACAAGTTTATCTGAGGGAACATTCACAACAATGGCATACGCCTATCTTTTCAAATACATCATCATTGGCGATACAGGTATTGATTTTATTTCCTTAATTTTTTCCATCACATCATTCTTCCCTTTGTTTGTATTTTTAAGGTCAAACGTTCATAAAACAATGTCAACAAAAAAAATGTGGTCACGAGAGTAATTTGAGCCCTAATTTTGTCATTATTTGAATATTTAATATGAATACTTACTGAAGTCCGCCTACGCCATGCCAAACTGAAATGCGTATAGCAGTTTTTACATGTTTACTCAAGTGTACAAGTTTAATAATCTTTGCAATCACTTATAAATAGCTTATTATAAGTTGTTATGACAAAATTATGTCTCTTATGCTCAATATACATATTTTGTCCCACATTCTCAACAAAGACAAAAACAAAGGAGAGTAATGTAAAATAAGTAACATGTCAAATGATTAAAATGTCAACTAGGTATCATGTTAAACAGACTACTGTTTCCTTGAATATATTTCCTTTGTTAACATTGACTAATTATTATTCATGTTACTGTTTTCAGGTGTTGGTAAATCCTGCCTCCTCCTTCAGTTCACCGACAAAAGGTTCCAACCTGTGCATGACCTCACCATTGGTGTCGAATTTGGTGCTCGCATGATCACCATTGATGGAAAACAAATCAAACTTCAGATTTGGGACACTGCTGGACAGGAGGCATTTAGGTCAGAATAAAAGTACTATTCAATAAAAACTTGTATTTGTACAACAACACTACTTAAAAGAACTGTTTAATGCTTATTTATTATTATTTTTTGTTATATGAAACCTTAAACTATTTGCTTGATATGGCAACTCAATCAAAATGTCATATCATCCCAATATTTTCAATGAAATTCTATACAAAATAAGTAGTGTGCATTTTAATATATGTATTCTAATGACCTGCTTTGTTAATTAATAGTTTATCTACTATCTGAATGGTAAAGATAAATAAATCTATGGATGAAGTATAAAAATAATGTTCTTTAGACCAGATAATAAGTATAAAGTTTGTTTTAAAAATAATATACCTACTTAACCATTTATAATGACATTTTTTTGTTAATATAACAGACAATAAAAAATGTGATTAAAAACATGAAGATATTAAGTTTAAATGAGATTAACAATCAATTGTTTTTATTTAAGTCTTTGTGATTGCGGCAATTTTATAAATCATTTTCAATTCTAACAATTGTTAATCAGGTCATAGGTCATTTTTAAATTGAGGAAATACAAATATGCAGAATAACTCAAAAGTAGTTTAAAATTAAATAATCTTCATTTTTGTAATGGTTTATTAAAATTTATCGATTTACATGTATGTCGTACTATATAGTTGTAGTTAAAATTAATTAATTGAAGTAGATAGCAATGTAAACGGTGAACTTTTAATTAAAAAATGTTATATCCTCAGATCGATAACCCGTTCATACTATCGTGGAGCGGCCGGTGCTTTACTTGTCTACGACATCACACGACGAGACACTTTTAACCATCTGACTACATGGCTGGAAGATGCTCGCCAGCATTCTAACTCCAACATGGTTATCATGCTCATCGGTAATAAGAGGTGAGTTTGTTAACCTTTCAATGATTAATTGCTGTTCAAATGATCCGTCTAAACATAAGTGTTTCTGAGTAACCAATCACACTTCAATACTTCAGATAGATGAAGTATGTTTAAATAAAATCTTAAATATAGGTAATTATGTACTTAAAAAATGTCATACATTACCTAAATTCAATTAATTCAATTGATATACCAAGTAGTATTTGAATCTACTACATGACATAACTGTTATTAAAAACTAGAGAAATAATGAAACATAATTCTTAGCCCCAGGTATGATCATGTATTTAAGTTTAAACAATTAATAATAAATATTGGGCATTAAGTATTTAGTTTGGAAATATATATTTTAGTTATTGGGTAAATAATCTACATAAAATATAAATATCTTCACTAACATACAAAGAAAACCCATTTGCACCTAATAATTTTATTAGATAATTATGGAAAAAACACAAACTGAATAATTGATCATTTCTTATTATATTTCACCATCAGTGACTTGGAGTCTCGTCGCGAAGTAAAGAAGGAAGAGGGTGAGGCGTTTGCTCGTGAGCACGGACTGGTGTTTATGGAGACATCGGCAAAGACAGCTGCTAACGTTGAGGAAGCTTTCATCAACACGGCCAAGGAAATATATGAAAAGATACAGGAGGGAGTGTTTGATATCAATAATGAGGTATAAACATTAACTATGAATTAACATTAACAAATATCTGAGAAATATTGGTAATAAGAGTTTTTATGTCATAAACAAATATTAATTTCATATTATATTAGGATATAACATAACATAGTAGTGACTCATTCTCTATACACATAAATTATACATATCATTTTCATGAATCATTTATTATATATACTTAACTGAACACATCTCTGTTATATTTTAACTTAATATTTCATTATCTTTATTTATATGTGTTCCAATATTATTATTTTTTGTTATAGCTTAAAATTGAAATCACACTACTTTTAAAATATATAATAAGAAATAGGTCTCATTGAAATTACGTCTACTATTACGCCTTATTGACGCTAAACTACATTAACTCTGACCATAATTTACGAATATATTTCGATATCAATTTTATTCACATTACTAAGGATTCCTATCCAAATGGCAAACGAACCCTTATAATTTCGTCCTTATCATCCGATGTCACGTAATACATAAAACATATGCCATCAGCCATTTTATTCAGACATTTTGAACGACGTAGTTTCATAGTTTGATATAAATATGCTTTGGTTAGTTGTTATATACATATATAGCCTTCATCTGTGCATAATATATTCAGCCAGTGTCAGAATGGATGAGACACAATATGCTTTTATTATATCTGTCACAATGATAAGTATTGTATTTTAATATATCAAATGAAATGAAATCTTTTCATTTATGTAAATTCGGTAATTTAGTTTTATCAGGGCTCGATAATTGATAAATATTTCCCGACTTATGCTACAACTCGATAATTTTTTTTTATGATTCCCGACTTAATGTGCAACAACATGAATGTTCGTTTTCAATCGAATTCCTTTTTCGATATAAAGATGAATAAGAAAATACTCAAGCAGATAGATCTAAGACTTTATATTATCTATAATAGAGATTTTTAATATATTATTATATTTTTCAGGCCAATGGTATTAAGATCGGTCCTCAGCACGGCGGGGCGGGGTCCGGTGGCGGAGCGCCGGGTGCCGGGGGCGCACCGCCCGGCGGGTGTTGTTAGGTGCTGCGATGCACACGCTGAGAAGGGCATGGTTAGATGAATGGGGTGAGTATATACAGACATTGACTATGAATAGTAGTATATTAGTATATACTATACATAGTGGTCAGTGGTGGCCTAGTGGTTAGAGGGCCCGCCTCTCGTTGCCGAGGGCGCGGATTCGATCCTGGCCCGGGCAATTACCAATGTGATTTTTCCGAGTCTAAGAATATTTAGACATCACTGATTAATGCATTCCCAAAAGAGGGTTGATGTCAGGAAGGCGGGCCGGTCGTTAAAAATAATTAGTCAAAACTATTCACAACATGTTAAGGCAGACCCTGGCTATAGCCGGGAAATTTCCAGGTAGAAGAAGACTAAACATGACTAGAACACAAGCTCCCATAGTTAAACTAAATATGGAAAGTTATCAGTTCTCTATTGATAAATCTACATACACTATCATTTATGAATTTATTTACAATTAAAATGTAAAAAAAAAAGAATTCTTATATCTATGTCTTGTATTTAAATTTGACTGTCGATATGTTTGTGTGTTTCAGAATGTATGCAGCTGTGTGCAATCAAACAAGGGTATGAAACTTACTGCATGCCGGTTTAATAGTTTTATTTTTAATGCTATAGACTATGACGCATCTCAATACAATGTAATAGTGATCGGGCCCTGAAGCCTACTATGCCGATAAACATTTAAACTTTTAACGTGAATTAATTTTTATCTTAATTAAGGTATACTATAACATACCAAAACAAATAGAAATTGTATGTTCATATTTTTAATCTTTTTTTAAAATATTTAATTATCATATAAAATTTGAAATATCTTAAATGTTTATTTAATCTGTAGTGGCAGTAATGTTAACTTCTCGTCTAGCTATTATCTTATTAGACGTAAGTTGAAATCATAATGCATAACCACATTAACGAATAATTGTAAGATTGGACCAGGCGTGGAAATATTTAGTTGTATTCATTGTTCCAAAAGACTAATGTCTCGTATTGTCTGTGCACTTTTTCGTGATGTCTAAACATTTTGTCGCTGGTATAGCTTTTGATAACGCTTTTGTATATTTAAATGAATCCAACATGAATTTTTAACAGTAATTTTGAGCTTGTGATCTCATATTGAGTCCTATTACGGAAAATGTAAATAGGAGATACATTTGTTTGAAATGCTTTGTAAATATGGGTCCAGTCGCCCTTAACGTGTGCTAAAAAACACTTCAATCAAGATCATTAATCCTTAGCATTTCTAATTTTATTTATTAATAGACATTTATAAAAAAAATTCATGTCGTTATAAGAGGTCACAATATTTCTTTGAATATGTTATATTTGACAGCATTGTGGACAAAATTATTTATATATATTATAATTTTTGTTAATTAAAGATGTTTATTTTATTATTATATTTTATTGTCATCATTTGTTGTATACATTTTGATGCTTAAATGGCTTTTCTGTGGGACGGTTTTTAGATGATTATCAAATTTTTTGACAGCCATGTACAAGGTCGAGGCCTAGGAAATATGTTTGCACAATATAATATGGGATAACACTTTCAGTGACTTCCCAATACGAAATTGTGATTACAAGGAGTGCTCATATGATGGAAGGAAAATAAAAAAAAATATAGGTTACTTTAAGTTTAGCACATTGTAATGTAGTAATATTTTATAAGGTTACAATATGCAGACACATTTGTAAGGCATAATTCATGAAGTAAATGTTATAAAATTATATTTGTTTTTTTTTTTATCACTGACTAATAATAATTGTATGCAAGAGTTGTAGATTATTAGTTTTAAAACACAAAAAAGGTAATATAGACATGTTTTTAACAATATATTTCATTTTAAGATAACATTACACTAAGAAGAGAAAAATATAGTCACAAATTAGGAGCAAAACTAAACAAATCTTCAGGTACATTAATAACTTATCAATTACAATTATTAAGCTTCAAGTCCAGTTATTTCATTTAAAACAGTGAACACGGCATTAACAATTTCAGGTGTTTTCATTTTCAATACCCCATTACTTTTAACTTCAGCCTTTGATAGTATAATTTCACACAAGTCAAACACAGTTATATCCAGTGTGAGTGTATGATAAATTTGATTCTGTAGTATTTGATATGCCAAAGAAACCTGTTCCGATTCCCTATTTACCTCTTCTTTTATCCTGAAAAAGATGTTTTTTTGAGACTGTTTGATTCTTTAAAAGGAATATTTTATCATGCAGTTTATTATGTGTCTATTCACAATAAAATTAATGCATAAACAGTTTTTTTCCAAAATAATAATTGGCAGAAGCTTATAATGACAACAACACATTAATTTAATCAAAAAAATGAAGATATAATATGTTAGATATTGTATGACTATAGCCACAATACTTATACAGGGTGACTGGTGAATTACTATCGATACTTGAGGACGTGATATTTGACGATCATATATGACAAAATAAAAATTAATATAACATGAATATCAATAAACTTCCAAGTAAAGTTAACCAAAAGTTATGTAGTTAATTACGCATCGTATGAACACCCTACAGATTAGGTACACACACAGACACACGTGCGGCGGCGTGGTGTTGTATCAGCACGCCGCCGCACGCGTCCACACTTGGAACGTGTCCACACTTTATTTATTTATACGGAAACTTTGTCAAAAATTAATTACCTATTTTTTTTTACATAATTCGAGTGAGAATCATGTACCGAGTATTCTCCTTAAATATTGATAGTAATTCACCAGTCACCCTGTATACAATCAAGTACTTGTTCAAAATGTTTAAATAATTATATTTCATATCAAGCCTTACCCATTCCATATAATATGCAAGTCTCCTACATCAAATGTCAAAGTAAGTTTGTCCTTGAAATTAACTTGTGGTGTTTTATATATGAGAACAATTGGATCTGTACTTCTGGATGTGTCGTGTTCAATAAAACTAAAACCAAACTGTAGAAGCTGATGCTGAAAAGAAATACAGATTATAAATAATAAGAATCTTCCTTTTAGGTTTTTTGTGCGGGAGTAGAAGGTATAAAAAGGTTTTTGTTTCACTAAAGATTGTTTAATAATAATGATCTTTCAACATAACTTGAGTTGCTTACATATTGCTATCTTCATCAAATAAACAAATACATATATAAAAAAATGGTGTTAAATGCTGAAAAGAAATGATTCTTTTAAATTTAATAACTCACATAGGCATACTACTAATACTACTGGCATTCATAATTATTCTAATACATATAATTTGCTGTTATAATATACCTGGGTGAAATTATATTGTTTTATATTGCAATCAAATAAAGTCTGGAGTGTGTTCTTTACACTGTTGCCGACCCTTTGTTCTCCTCGGTCAAGCATGTAAGGCAAATGGATAGCATCATTTATATTTACACTTAAACCCCAAGACAGAAGAACTGCTGAATACACTAGTTTCGTTTTATTATCTTGGGTGGTTGAGGAAACTGTTATCTAAAAATTAGTTCATAAATAGTATCATATTCGAAATATTGTTTTTGATTAAATTCACTCTTAATTTCTAACTACAAAATGTTAAATAATATGGATTGGTAGTAACTTTACAATATTTGAACAAATTAATGTGTTAATATTAAATTCGATTTTCGATGAATATACTTACCATTAAGCCATTTGAATCTTCTTCTGAAAATTTTAAAAGTGGCAGATTATCTACTTGCACCGTGAACTTTTGCGAGGCATTACTAGCCACTGTACTCGCGAATGTTTGTCGTATTTTAAAAGCATATTGTTTTAATTTGACTTCACTGTATTGCAAATTGTACATTGGTGATACTTTGTTTATTCGCCATAGCCCCTCATTATATATCACTGAAATATTACATTTTGAATTAAAAATATTATATTATTGACATAATTTGAAATATTCAGAAAAAACTAGGTACGTACCAGCTAAAGGATCATTTATAACATGAGCATTCATATTTTTCGTTATCAAATTATAAAACTAAAAACAAAAAATCTTATGTCTCACATTGGTTTCTCAACTATTACTCTAAACTTCAGTTTTAATCAACAAATTCTATTTGAAATTACTGCATTTATATTCACTTCCAAAACTTTTTAAATATTTACCGTTGACCGCTAAGATTTGAGATATTAATAAGAGTATGATCTGTCAAAATCTACACAGATAAAATAAGAAACAAAAGAACTCTCCCACGATATATATAAAATTATTTTTTACTTATTCTGAGTAAATTAAATGTTATAATTATTTATATCTGTTTTTTTTATACCTAAGAAATAGGGATCAAGTTGTCAAATAAAGTTAAAAATCATCTTGAAACTAGAAGTTTAAACTTCAAAAGTCAAAGTTCAATGTATGTATATTCAGATTTACGTCAACATTTTGTTAATGTATTAATTTAAAGTGGTATATTCGTTACTTAAACGATTTTCGATTATATATAAGAATTTTTAATCACTACGTGAAATAATAAAAACGTAAAAAAATCTGTAAAAGGGTATTGTTAAGAATTTATATTAGCGTTTTTTTTTATCTTGTTAACGTTGACTGTGTAAAGTTCACTTGAGATATTTAGTGTTACGCATTGTAGCTTGACTTGCTATCATTCTGTGGCGAGTCGTCTGATAGGATGGATCAATTAAATTTCTCTGGCCGCGTAGCTGTTGTGACAGGAGCCGGTGGTGGCCTAGGAAAGGCCTACGCCTTACTTCTTGGTTCTAGAGGTGCTAAAGTGGTGGTAAACGATCTCGGCAGTGCTCGAGATGGTGTTGGTAAATCAAACTTCGCAGATCTTGTTGTACAGGAAATTAAGGACAAAGGTGAGTGAAGTTCAGATTTATTGTACATTGTTATCATTTACGCCATGATATGCATAATTTACTTGTTCCATTCTTTATTATTGTGATCATTTAAAGTTTTTGTATCAATGTAATCTGCATAAATCTTTCACATGAAGTTTTCAAGAGACAACAGTTGACTGTTTATATATACTCTAACATTATAAGTGTGTATGATTTTTCATTACTTATTTACAAACTGCATTATAAATTTGATAAATGATGAAATTCATTCCGTATAAGTTTATAATGCCAACAAAGATTTCACAGTGTTCATAATAAGAATGAGACAACATTTTTTATATTTACATGTATATTACTTACTGACTTACTATTTTTAACTTATTTCTGGGACGGATATGAGTTGATATTATTGTGTTGAGTGTGTTTTTACACTTATCACTAAGAGGTTATTAACTTATGAATATTTTCTTTGGTAGTATTGTCATTTTACTTCATAATATATATAACTGTTACATAGTCAAGATGAACAAAATTATAAATTGTATTTATTCAATATTTATTCACTTTGCCTTACAATAGGAAAATGTATTGGTATATGCATCATTTGTAATAATTGGTTTTTCCTATCCATGCTTTTACCTGTTTACAAATAAAGGCTTTGTTATTTAATGGGATGGAAAATTTGCTTTCAATTTTAAGTACATTATTTTTCACTTGAACTTGTTAGACTTAATTTGTCCTTAAATATTAAGTAGATAATCAAATATAAGTTATCTCAATGTACTGAAAGAAATAAGTTATTATTATTAACATGATAAAGACTTTTCATGTCCATTTTAAGTTCACACAATAATAACAAAAGTGTTTTTGGGTTCCAAATGCTGTTTGTGGATAATTACAATCATTGCGATCATAACATACTTACAATGTTAGACATATTACCAAATTAAGATGTTATTGTTCGAGAAATATTTACAAATATGTTGGAATTAACATAAGGTTAATGTAATATTGTTTTATATTGAAAAATTTTTTTTGTTGTTATATTATGTCATTTTTGTAAGTATCTTGTTGTCGGTGACTTCTTTCAACTAATTAACTAGTGACAAAACAATAAACATAAGAATATTTCACAACACTTACAGTAAACAAGTTTTGTATTGAGAATCTAAAATTTAAAAAAAGATATGTTATTTGTTTGATTTTGATGTGTATGTCGGCATTAATTAGTGTTGCTGTGTTGTTTTATTTGAAAGTCCTTTTAGTAATTCTTAATTAATTGTTGATCCTGTAGTGTGACTTTTTCCTCTTTTCCAAAATGATCAAAGTTCATCTTTTAATATTTTCCATTTTAATATTAATGACTTTGAATATTAAAATTAAACACTGACTGACTATACTGAGTATGCAAAACTATTATAAAATTCTATTGTTTCAAATATAAATCGAGCTCCGAAATTTCGGTAAAAAATATATTTGAGAATCACAAAAGTAGCATTAGTATGTACATTTTGCAATTTTAAATTAATATTTTAGTAATTTAGTTCATTTTTAAAAGGTTTTCAAATATTAATACATATGCATAAATTTAAATAATTTTTTATTTTACATTTCTGTATATGGTTTATGTTTCGATTTTAACTTGAATTTAAATATGTAATGTTAAATTTATACCTACTTTTCGTTTAAATAGTTTTTGTCTACATTCATTAATGAGCCCACATACCTATAATAAAGATATACTACATATCTTTTTTTGTATTTTTAATTTGTTTCGAGAACTTTCTAATAACCACGTCATATTTTCGGTACTTTTCTATTGTAAAATTCATTACACAGGTGGAATTGCTGTCGCCGATTACAACTCGGTGGTTGAAGGAGAGAAGATTATTAAAACGGCTCTCGATAACTTCGGAAGGGTTGATATTCTTATCAACAATGCCGGTATCTTACGTGACAAGAGTTTTCAGAAGATGTCCGAACAGGTAAACTTCGATTACGTTAATTTTTGGTATTACAGAATGAGTAATTGTTAAAGAGCCTTATATGATATTTTTTTGTTTTTTTTGTTTCTAAAAAATCACGAATAATATTTCTAAAATTATTTTGTGGCGACTACGAAAAAAGTTCGCTCCACTAAACACAGCGTTCTTCTTAATAATTTTGTTATCGCATGTACGTACTTGCTAGTAATGCAACTCTGTTGCTTTCGCAAAAATATTTCTTTTCATTTTATATCATTTTGTTTGCGGAGTGTATATGCACTTATATGTATTAGTTTTTATATATATGGCAACTATACCGAGTCAAACAACTTTAATTTACTTAGAATTATCCTAGAAAATAAGTTGTAAAAAAATTGTCACAGGATTGGGACTTGATCCAAGCTGTACATCTGAAAGGCGCTTACAAAACCACTCAAGCTGCGTGGGAGACTTTCAAAAAACAGAAGTATGGTCGCATCATCATGACGAGTAGTAACGCTGGTTTGTTCGGAAACTTTGGACAGGCTAATTATAGGTGTGTATTATATGACGAAATTGAAATTAACGTTTTTGCGTTATCAAATCTACTTGTTTTTTATTGTATAATCATAAGAAACATAGATAGTTTTAGTTTCTTAATGATGGACACTAAAACGGCCGTCATTTAGTTTGACGAACCCCTACTAAGCTTACAGCAACCCAAGTTGTACTTACATTACCAATTCTATGGTATTTCCTCAATAGCATATAGCTCAAAAAATACTCCATAAAATAAGATGAACTCAATAATTATATAACTTATTGTATAGCGCTGCAAAGATGGGTCTAGTCGGTCTAGCCAGTACATTGGCCATTGAAGGCGCGAAATACAACATTAAAGTGAACACAATAGTACCGACAGCAGCCTCCAGACTCACAGAAGACATCTTACCACCGGAAATGTTCCAAGCGATGAAACCTGATCTCATCGCACCCGTTGTAGTGAGTATAGAAATAATACATTAGAGGTCATCCGTAAAGTACGTCACGCCTTAATTGAGGGAGGAAAGTATTACCGACGTGTGACAAGGGAAGGGGGGTCAATAGTTGTGTGACGTCACATATTAAAATGCAAGGTTTGGATGTGAATTGCATGTTAAAAAAATTACGAACTTGATCTATATTTATCACTATTTCGGTAATCTCGTTGTGAACGTATTCAAACTGTGTGACATCACATCGGGAGGGGTGTTATCAAAATGTGACAAGAATGGGGGGGGGGGGGGGATGAGGCATTCAGAAGTCCTAAAATTCGCGTGACGTATTTTATGGTTGGCTAACTTAACCCTAACTTTGTAATCAACCTTCTGCCATATTTAAAGTCTGTGTCACGGGTCTTAATGCAAAATATTATCATCATATCGTTTTTATAGCCTGTGTCGTTTTTTGCTGTCTAATGTATATAATGGTAGAGCTTAATCAAAATCCATTAAGCAATCTGCAGTCAACAAATGTACATAGGTCATCAAGATTTTGGCACTTATAATATTAGTATGTAACCATAATATAAAAGTTGTAAAAATAATAGGTGTGAAAAACTATATAATATATATAGATATTATTAAAAATAATGTTCACTTTTTTTTTCTTATATTAAATTCAATGTTCAATGACATAATAGTATCTTCTTTTTGGCACATTAATCATTATTAGATAATTGAATTGATTGAGTGACCTTTTCAAGCAAACATTTCGTATCTAAAAATATTTAGACCGGCTTTATCAATAAATTTCGAGTATGTATTTCACTGAATTTTATGAAGGAAGTCGTAGTCCATAAGTTATAAAACACAACAAATTAAACAAGTAATTTTCTTTACAAGTAAACAAATTCTTCAAACTATTTCTAGTAAATATTAGCTAAAATAATAAAATTATGTAATACCTCATAATAATATTTTATCTTTATCTATTTATTCACGTTATAAAAGAATTGAAATTGATAAAAAAAAATGATAAAATCGAAATTTATCACATCAAGTCAAATCAATTGTGGGTGTCAAAAATTAAAGTAAACAAATATTATATGTATGAAATGAAATAATATAGTATACTTTACAAAACAGTATTATATGTTTAGATAAAGGTATTGACGAAAATGTAATCTTATCAGTTTTTACAAATGACTTAATATTTCATGGTATCATTTTTTAGGTGTCATATTAAAGTTTTGTTAATATATAGGCAATATATATTTTTTAATAATTACATACATTAAAAAATATATATTTGAAAACGAGGGTAGGATTTTAGCCCGAACTCGTCCAACCAATCAAGATAAGAAATGTATACACATACATAATTTTTAGCCTATGCAATAAGTATGTTTATTTCATGTTTTAAAGCAATTTTCATTCCCATAGATGTCTTTATTGTTTTATGTTATTGAACACCATATATTATATTTATGCATGACCGTGTATTAAAGTCTAGATCTTTTCGAAACTGTGATCTATAATTTAACACCTATTCAAGGAGAATTAATTCTTAGATACAATAACGTATAAAGTTCAAAGTATATATATTTACTCAAAATACATAATTACGAATATTCATCTCTTTTATTCTTTAATATCAAATAAGATCTCGATTCCGGCTTTGTTTATATGTTAAAAAAGTTATTATTAATCTTTTGATTCATATATAAGATATGGACACACATTCACTCACTATTTTTAATAGAAAACCACATATATATATTAAATTTTTTATTCCAGGCCTACATGGTACATGAGTCTTTCACTGATAGCGGGCTCATTATTGACTCAACATTGGGTTTCGCTACCAAGGCTCATCTTGTCCACTCACAGGGAGCACTATTGAGGTTAATATACAGGGTGACTGGTGAATTACTATCAATATTTAAGGAGAATACTCGGTACATGATTCTCATTCGAATTATGTAAAAAAAATAGGCACTTAATTTTTGACAAAATTTCCGTATAAATAAATAAAGTGTGGAGACGTTCCAAGTGTTCCAAGTGTGGACGCGTGCGGCGGCGTGCTGATACAACACTACGCCGCCAAACGCGTATGTGTAAGTGTGTGTGTATACCTAATCTGTAGGGTGTTCACTCGATGCGTAATTAATTACATAACTTTTGGTTAACTTTACTTAGAAGTTTATTAATATTTATGTTATATTAATTTTTATTTTGTCATATATGATCGTAAAATATCACGTCCTCAAGTATCGATAGTAATTCACCAGTCACCCTGTATCAATATTATTATACATATACATCACAATGATTTTAAAAATATTGTAGATTTAAAGTCTGTATACAATTACCCATTTAAGTTACTTGAAATAATTGAAATATATATCTCTTTGTTTTGTGTTGATGGTCAATTTATTTTAGACTAGTCTTACATAGAAATTAATTGATTAACATGTTCTTTGTGTATATAAAAATCATTTGCATCAACAGGAAGAAACCATCGGATCCTGTGACAATAGAATCAGTTAGAGACAATTGGTCCCAAGTTGTGAACATGGAGAACGCTCAACACATAGATAAGATAGCTGAAGTTACAGTCAATCTCGTTGAGAAATTACAGGTATAATGGAATAATAGGCTTTACTTCTATAATAGAACTGCTGTTAACTTCTTATTGTAGCTTTATTTCCATACTAGAAGTATTGTATTGGAACAATCTTTTACTGTCACTAAAAATAACCACTAAGGGAAATTCTCCATACTTTAATGGTAATACATATTGTTGGATTATGAATGAATAGGCGATATATACGCGAATATAATTATATTTAAGCCAGAAAGATATTACAATGATATTCAGGCGAACGCGTGTTGACAACTGAACTGAATAAATCGTTTTTTACATATTATATGCCGGGCGGCACTGCTCACGCACTTCGTACTATCTCAACACCTCCCCTCGAAGTCGTGAGTCTTATATTAATCTGAGTCTTTACATACATCCATCGACCGTACCTAAATTACGTATACATTCATGATGTTTTGTCCCATTCAAACCTTTCGTTAAAACATCAGCAGGCATTCGATTAGTACATAAATATTTAAGATCAATTACACCTTGTTCGTACATATCCCGAATAAAGTGGTGCCTCACATCAATATGTTTTGTTCGAGAATGGTAGTTCTTACTTTCAGCTAATTTCATGGCACCCTGATTATCATTGAATAACACAACACTTTCACACTCCATCCCAATATTAACTAGTATATCACGAAGGTACATGGCCTCCTTAGTAGCTTCGGAAAGAGCCATATATTCGGCCTCCGTGCTTGATAAAGCAATAGTCCGTTGTTTACGTGCCTCCCAGCTAATGGGAGCACCGGCTAAAATAAATGCAAAACCAGAATAAGATCTACGATCCACTGTATTTCCACCCCAGTCTGCATCAACCACTCCAAACAAAGGTAAGCCTGTCCTCTCATACACCAATCCATAATCTGATGTACCTTTTAAATATCTTAACACACGTTTAGCAGCCTTCCAATGTTCCATATCATAACTAGTATTGAATTGACTTAAGTAATTTACTGCAAAAGCAATATCAGGCCTGGTTGACACAGCAAGGTGCATTAAGGCACCTATCAAACTTTGATACGGATATTGTTTCATTATTTCATGTTTTACACACTTACTTTTTACTAATTTAACATTAACATCCAGAGGCGTGATGGCAGACTTGCATGCACTTATACCAAACCGCTCTAATAGTTTATTCACATACAATTTCTGATTTAAATACACTCTGTTTTCATTATCACGACTAAATTCTATACCTAAACAATTACTTATTTTACCCATATCTTTCATTTCAAATGCTGATGACAAACTTTTCTTTATATCACACATCCAATTAATATCATCCGTCGCTAAAATAATATCATCTACATATATACCAATTAACATGATTCGCTCACTCTTTTGTGCAACAAACACACACGGATCCTGCTGCAACCCTTCAAAACCACAATCCACTAATTTTCTCACTAGTTTTTTATGCCACTGCAATCCAGACTGACGCAAACCATACAGAGACTTTTTCAACAAACATACACTATTAACACATTCATTCAAAGCTTCATGCCAACTTTTAGCTGTCTTCAGTATATTCTTCTCTGTCACTGTTCTTTTCTGTGATCCAACTTTCTCATTAGCAAGTACTCTCTTTAATACATCGCTAAGTTGGTCAGGCACCTCCATGTAAACCTCTTCTTCAAGTGAACCATTCAGGTAAGCTGTTACAACGTCCATCTGGTGGATCTCCAGTCCTAGTTCAGCTGACAAAGCAGCAATGAGTCTTATTGATGAAGTCCTTACTACAGGCGATGAAGTTTCATGAAAATCCTCCCCTGGTCGTTGGGAACATCCTTTTGCGACAAGACGCACTTTCTTGCCTGTACTTTTAGTACTAAGAACAAGTCGACTTCCAATAACTTTTCTCTGTTTCGGTCGTGGTACAATTTCCCATGTTTTATTTTTTAGTTGTGCTAGGATCTCATCTTCAAGGGCAATTTGCCATGCTTTTAAGTCATCACTATTTTCTATTTCATTCCATGTCATTGGTTCTATCGTTGCTATTCCTGCACTTAATTGTTCATCTCTATCTTCAGATTCATTCTCACTGTCGCTATTTTCTTGAGATGAATTATAAATTTTTCGTGGTCTGCCCGCCATGCCAGTACGGATTAGGCGAGGCCTTCCTCTTCCTCTTTTAGGGGGTTCTATTAATTCTTCCCATGAAACAGTTGCGATTCTTTTTCTATCAACATGTCTTCTATTTCTATCAAAATCTGATTCGTCTACTCTTTCAAGTGACCTTCTAGTTCTAACTCTATTTCTCTTTACTCTTAGTATTTTTTGATCTTCACTCTTCGTACTATTATCTGAAACAGGCTCATTCAATTCTATATTCATTTGTTCACTATCTATACTTTCTTCTTCATCAAGTATCTCTTTGTATTCATGTTTAAAAAATACTTCATTCAAGAACTTTACATCACGAGTAATAACAATTTTTCTTGTTGTAGGGTCATGTATTCTGTAGGCTTTGGATTGACTATCATAACCCACAAAAATTCCTGACTGTGAACTTGATTCAAATTTCCCTCTCTGCTTTCCTTTATCCTTATAATATACTTTAGATCCGAATATATTCATGAATATTACAGTAGGTTTCTTTCCTTTCCATATTGTAAATGGTATCTCACCGTTTAAGGCACTAGTTGGACACCGATTCCTAATGTAATTAGCAGTATTAATTGCTTCTGCCCAAAACGCTGGAGGGCTTCCGGCTTGACGCATCATGCATCGTGCCATTTCAACTAATGTTCGGTTTTTCCTCTCAGCAATCCCATTTTGTTGGGGCGTATAAGGCGCTGTCAGTCTTCTTCTAATACCTTCTTTCTTCAAAAAATCATCGAATTCGTTATTCACGTATTCACGGCCGTTATCAGACTGAAGATTCTTTATCTTATTACCAGTTAATTTCTCAGCATAGGCCTTAAATGTTTTGAAAACATTGAAAACATCACTTTTATTGGCTATAAAGTAGACTTCACACCATCTCGATTTGTCATCGATGAATGTGACAAAATATTTCTTACCGCCGTAAGACTGAGTCTTCATCGGACCACAAACGTCGCTATGTACGATTTCTAATAACTCGGTTGTACGCTGTCCGCTTGACTTTGGAAAAGGGACACATGCCAGTTTTTCACTTGCACATATATCACATTCAGACAATTTTTCATGATCATTAAATGTTAAGCCATATACGAGACCACTCTTCGACATAGCCTTCAAGTCACGCTCATTGAGATGTCCGAGACGTTGATGCCAAATATCTATAGGTTTTTTCTTATTTTCAACGTTACTCGCAGTATTCTGACTCATACGCACATGATATAAATTCCCAACACGATCTGCACGCAAATGAATCTTTCCATTTTCGTCACATACAGTTGCATCATTTTTCTTAAAATGAACCTCGAACCCGCGATCTGTCATTTTCGCTACTGATAATAAATTGGTTCGTAAATCTGATACGTAGAATACTTTTTGTAAATTAATTTGGCGTTCTTCACTGCCCGTATCTACTGAAATGCTCACTTTACCCGTGCCGGTGATTTGCGTTCTCTCACTATTAGCCAAATTCAATTCAGAGTTTAATTGTGTAAAATCCTCGATCATTTGTTTTTCATTGCACATATGACCCGTGCAACCGCTATCAATGCACCAAATAGGATTTATTTGCTCACCAAGTAATACATCTTCTGTAGTACTCAATAACATCGTTGTCTTACGCTCATTATCGCCATCGCGTTCTACATGCTGTGCACTCTTTTTATGCTTGCCCGTATATTTGACCTTGCAATCTCTCGCGATATGTCCACGCCGACCACACCTATAGCATTCAACATACGCTTTACGGCCATGGTTATCATAGTTCTTTTTCAGATGAGTGTTTTTGTTAATACGTTTGATGAACATAGCACCCTGGTCTACCGTTTGGGATTTACGACCTTCGAAGTCTTCAATAATTTTCACCTTTAACGATTCAGTTGAGGGTAAATCGTCGCGTGATTCTATTGCCGTCCGGAACATAGCAAACGAATCTGGCAAACTGTATAATAATAAAATGGCTAAAAGTTCGTCTATAACTATCAAACCGATTTCTCTCAGCTTCTTGACAGCATCGAAAAAATCTGCGATATGCTTCTTAAGGTCATCATCTTCTTTCATTCGCGTTAACACCAGTTTCTTCAACAATGATGCTTTTCTCGCCGGCCCGCTTGACTGATACATGGATTTCAATTTATCCCAAATAGCTCGAGAACTTTCTAAACCGTCCAATGCAGCCAACTCGCTTGAACTAACCGCTAATAAAATATCTGATTCCGCTTTTCCGTCCATTTTAAGCCATTCTGTATACTTGGGGTCACTCGGTGGAGGTTTTAAGATGGCACCCGATACATATTCCCATAAATCATTCTTTTTCAGAATAGCTCGCATATGTATCTTCCAAGTATCGTAATTATCACCAGTAAGTTGGTCAATTTTAATAGATGCAGCCATATTTATAAGCTTCTTCAACTTAATAAATGTTTAAACACCACAACAATAACTAATGTCTTTTTAAACCGGTCGACACAGTAATTAGCACAAAGGAAACGTTATCTTTACTTGCGGGGACTCGATGACGACGCGTTTATAACTTTGTTTACGACGATACTAATATTAGTGTCCAATCACTTCGAATATAGTCTTTTATGCACAAAATCAATTGTTATTCACTTCCTGGGCCCATAACCTGTTGGATTATGAATGAATAGGCGATATATACGCGAATATAATTATATTTAAGCCAGAAAGATATTACAATGATATTCAGGCGAACGCGTGTTGACAACTGAACTGAATAAATCGTTTTTTACATATTATATGCCGGGCGGCACTGCTCACGCACTTCGTACTATCTCAACACATATGTATAAAATTTCATTAAAATCAGCCCATACTTGTATATAATTTTAAATGTGCCAGACACATTCAAACTTGCAATAATTAAATTCATGTAAAATACTTATTACTTTATAAAATACTTATTACTTTATAAATGAAACATAAGCTCTTTATTAAGTTTTTTATTATTAATTAAATATTCTTTTAAATTCAATGAAATTGCATAATATTATTTTGTTTTGTCTTGAGCATAATATAAGTAATTTTTGCAATAAAAATTCAAAACCCATGCATGTTATTAGAAGTATTGTAATAACTATAAATAATATGTTTTCAAATGTATGTATATATTTTTTAAGTAACATAATGATTAAAATCTCTAGGATTTTGAGGAGCGTTCTAAGTTGGAGGGTAAAAATGAGAGTTACTGGGGGAAATACAAGTATAACTCCAAAGATCTTGTCTGCTACGCCTTAGGGGGTAAGTTAGTATAACATTATATATTTGTGACAAATATAGTTATTTGTTTCTCTAATTTAAACACTTATAACTGTGTGAGTTACTTCTGGTGGATATAAAGCCTAAAAATTTTATCTTGAATATCAGTTAAATTATACAAAAGACATTGAAAACAAAATCTATCTAGAGTTTAAGAAAAATCACAGATACATAAAAAATATGGCCCATATATGACCTTCAATAAAGTTGTGTGAGAAAAATGTTCTATTAAATAATTCCTTTTAAAATGAGATAATATATAAAATGATTAAATATTATAGTACCTACCGTTAATAGCTATGATACTTAAACATATGGTTTTCACAATTTTTATTTTATAAATTTGTTTTTATTTAGCTACAAGTTAGTGGTTATGAAAATCAGGTATTATATTTAAATTAAGTTATTGAAATGCTCTTATCATAATTTTATTATATAATAAATCATTATTATACATATGAATATTTTTTGCATAGCACTAAAGTTGTTATTTATTAACGTTGCAATATATAAAGTATATAAACTTTGTAATACTACAATTTATGAAGTAAGAATACAATTGCTTGTTTGCATTTAAACGAACTATTGTAACATAAATTATTCTGTTTCATGTATATCATTATGTTATGAAACCAGTTATGTCTGAACTTTTTCGTCGTATATCTGTGGCCTTACAATGAGTTCATATTATGATTAAACTATATTCGTAATTTCCAGTTTTCATAGAAATTCCAAAAAGGACATTTTTGTTTAAAATTAAAGATGTACACTTACATTTTTTTTAAACTGCTAATAGTTTTATTTTATATCTTAAGGACATATTGATTATTATGTTAAACAATATCGGTACATGTCTTTAAGCAAATATATTTCAGAAGTTTGATTTTCAAAAAACATTCAATAAAACTACCTAATATTCCTATTTATGAAAATTCGTTCATTCCATTTTCAAAAAACATTCTATTTTCATTCTTATTAATGAGAACAGAATCAATGAATGAAAATTCTTCTTCTAGTTGGTGCGTCAGTAGTGAATCCTTCAGACCTCAAGTTCTTATATGAGAGTCATGAGAATTTCTCAGCTCTGCCCACGTTCTTCATACTGCCCGGTATGTTGATGGAATCCCCTGTAGTGGGTAAATCAATGCCTCCAGGAAAATACGCTGACTTTACAAATGTACGTATGATATATTTATTAACAAATAATTTCATAGCCTTAATATTATTTATCTTATTAATATTTTAACCTCTAAAGTCTGAATCATAATAATACCAAATAGTTACTATTTGTTTTCATTTTTTTTTAAATATTAACGTTCTCTTTGTTATGTAAAAGTGACAAAAATATATATATTTTTAATCTGTATATCATTTTTGTATGAAGATAAAAATATGAAAGAAAAGAGAATACATCAACAGTTGTTCTTTAAATTAAATCAATTATATGAAATAAAAAACAATTTTGTTCTCAATACTATGTTATTAAGTAAAATTTGTTATTTAGATTCTCCATGGCGAGCAGTACATTGAATTTCTATCAGACCTTCCCGGCACTGAGGGAGAATTCACTATAAGGAACTATGTAGTGGACTTATTGGACAAGGGATCAAGCGCTGTGGCTGTTGTTAATAGTAATATATATGAATTTATAATATAATCATAAATATTTAAAAGAAATAAATTAAGAAAATAGTCAATAGAATCATATTGATATAGCAAATTCACCATTTTTGACTTCATTTCCACCTTCAAGTGGAATGATAGTCAAACATTATCCAGTTTAAATTTTAAAAAAAAGTAATAAAGTTTTTAATACTTAAAATATGTGAAAAGAAAATATTTGTTAAGAAATTTTTGTAATGTTATACATTTGCATTCCAATGCTTTTCTTATCAACCAGTACATAAAAAACTAGAGACATTACTTCATTTATTATCTTACTATAATAATTGATATGTAACAAAACTTCTTTAATCTATCTTTCCAGGTGAAATATACCAAAACAAAGAGCTGGTGTTCAGAACACAACAGCATATTTTCGTGCTGGGTCAAGGTGGGTTCGGTGGACCGAGGAACAGCAAACAAGCTGTAGCAGTGGAAGCTGTCCCAAAAAGAGCACCTGATGCTGTAGTGGAACAAAGAACAGCTGAAGATCAAGCTGCTCTATACAGGTACACACAAGTATAATTAATATTCAGTTAACAGTTAACAAAGAACATATTATACGCCGACACAAAATATATGGGACACTGAGACGATTACTGGGAAAAAATATAAACTAGCTCCTACATATATGTGACATTCCAGAAGCCTTTATTTAAGAAATATATATTGAGGTACACCTGGTCCTATATGTAAGAATAACTAGTCACTGTCTCACTACTATTCCCGCCTAGAGCGCATGCGCACGTCACCGTTCTGCTTCGCGCTAGTCGTTAGACTGCCGAGCGAATGCCGCCCCCTCTAGTGGGGTACGTGAGACAGTGTGTTATATCTATTGTATAGATACACATACACTACATATATGATTATGGTTTCATAGGAATGTACTTTGCTTTTAATTTTTTCTATTATATTATTATTAATATATTTATACTAAATTATATGTACAAATGTTATTACTTATGTTTCTTACAGATTGTCTGGGGACTTGAATCCACTACATATTGACCCAAATGTTGCAACAGCCAGCGGTCATCCAAAACCAATCCTACATGGTCTTGCATCACTCGGTTTCTCAGCTAGACATGTTCTCATGAAGTAAATCATCAATTACTATACTAAACACTATAATATAATAATAGCAGAAAGATATAGCCATTACTAATATTCACTATATACATAAATTATTTTAACTATTATTTTCTGTGTTTATATTTAATACATGTCTTTGTTTTTACTAGATATGCAGGAAATGATTCTTCTAATGTCAAAGCTCTGAAGGCCAGATTCGCGAAGCCGGTGTTGCCAGGACAGACGTTAGTTACAGAAATGTGGTTGGAAGGAAAACGGGTTCACTTCCAGACTAAAGTGAAGGAGACTGGCAACATTGTTATTGCCAGTATGTAGTACTTTTATTATATATCAATAATATTGTAGCTGCTTGAGATAGTATGGATATACTATATATAGTACCTATGTATATCAAACCTCTTTTTTTTTTGTTATGAAAAAATCGAATAAGTGTAGCTATATTTCCCATTATTGTAATCATTTCATAGCTTTTGTTTAAACTTAAGATTACAATTATGATTCTATATTTTTAACATATTTTTGTAGGTTCCTACATGGATTTGAAGAATGTTGTCAAAGACGGTGCATCTGCATCCAACCAAAAGATGGCAGCACCATCCGCTTCGTCATTGAAGAGTGACTCTTTGTTTGCCAAAATTGAGGATGGCATTAAGTCTAACCCAGACAAGGCTAAGAGTGTTGGTGCTGTTTACTTGTATAATATCACTCTCAACGGAAAAACTGTGAAGCAGTGGAGTAAGTGATTCTTAAAATAATTATAATGTATTGTATATAACAATGTAGTATTAAAACTTTTATTTATCCTAAACTATATGTTCACAGAATATTCGTATTCGGTATATTCGGCGATTGCCATATTCATATTTGGCTGACTATTCCGTTAATTTAACGAACATTGTGGCTAATATAGCGACGTGCTCAGACTTTGCTTGATTTTTCTCCCCAATTTTATTCTGTAGGCTTGTATCTGTAATATAATCTTACGACAGTACTGACTGTTTGGATGGAGTACGTCACCCTTTCATAACAACTCCAAATAATGCAAAACATGAATATTCACGTTTCGTAATGGTTGTATTTCTTCATCAGCTTTGTTTCTCCGTCTTTACTTCTCATATTGTTTAAAAAAAATACTTTTGATTGGTTAATTTTTTCTTTAGCATAAATTTCCATCTAAAAATGGCATGTTACAATGTCACCAGTGTAGGGTGTACATCTATTTTGTTTTATAATGTTTCTCTTTCATTAACACCTAAACCAAAGCCTGTCAATCTAACAAATTATTTCAGTTATTCATGAAAAAGTGGAACTGGTAGGCTCATTAATTTCTTCCTCATTTAAAATCTTCAACTAACGAATTTATTTTTTGGGCATTTTAATGCACTGCTGATGTCAGGAAATATAAGTACTATTACACTGCCTGTCTTTCTCCAGACATCATTGAACCTTAAAAAACATACTAATCCTCAAACTTACTAAAACATAAGGTTATAATTTTGGAATTGTCTAAATGTATAATTTGGCCATATAAATATTGGTCACGTCTCCACTACAAAAATATCATTACATATTTACATTCTGTCATACAATTACTATTTGTACGAGGGGAGGTCAAAAAGTTCGCGGAATGGAGGGGATGGAGGGGGTTGATTTACTCGTCCAGGTAGTAACTTGTTCAACACCTCATTAATAGTATATATACCAAGTTTGAACCAAATCGGGTCATTAACTTTTGAGTTGTTGACCTGCAAACAAGTGAATCGGGAAGAAGTCAGTGAGTATGGAGAAAATTGAACACCGCGCCGTTATTAAGTTCCTCACCAAGCAAGGAAAATCCGCTCAGATAATTTTTGAAGAGCTGTTATGTTAGGAATTGAACGCAACCATGATAAAATTTGTAATCTTGAATGCATTGTAATGTTTTCGCTTTTTGCCGCTGCGCGGCGCTACTCTCTCTTCTATTAAAAACTGCATTGTAATAGTCCGTATAGTGAATAAATTACATGATTATATTAAAATACTTGCTTTATTGCTGATATTCCTACATGGTAGCAGAGCGTGGTTGCTCGGCAAGTATCAGTAAACATAATCGTGCAGAATTTATCAGTACTTATTGGTGTACGTGTACTGGAACACTTTGGAGGTTATACACGCACAAGTGACCGGCCGGCGAGTTACATTTCAGAAGTACAAAAATGAGTTCGTCGCATCACATGTTTAATCTCGATAAATTGATGGGACGGGAAAACTATGCGACATGGAAGTTCAGTGTCAAAACATATCTAGAACACGAAGACTTGTGGCATTGTATAGAGCCAAAGACTGACTTACCTATAGATTCAAGTAAGGATATCAAAGCGAGGTCCAAGTTAATATTGTTGTTAGATCCCCAAAACTATATACATGTACAGAATTGCAATACTGCTAAAGAAGTGTGGGATAACCTGCAACGAGCATTTGACGACAACGGATTGACCCGAAGAGTTGGGCTATTGAAAGATTTAGTGAATACTACTCTGGAATCTAGCGGAAATGTGGAGTCATACATTAACAAAATAATGACCACGGCACATAAGCTACGCAATATAGGATTTGAAGTCAATGATGAGTGGCTGGGCACCCTAATGCTGGCAGGTCTGCCTGACATCTACGCTCCAATGATTATGGGACTTGAGAGCTCTGGCGCTAGGATTAGTGCCGATCTTATTAAAACTAAACTTATACAAGAAGTCAGAACAGCAGATACCAGTACTGCTTTATATGTAAACTCTAAAATGAAGAAACATCATCGGCCACAACAATCAAAGTCAAGAAGAGGGCCAAGGTGCTATAATTGTAACAGTTATGGCCACTTTGCTAAGTTTTGTATGAATGCTAAGGGAAACAAGACTGAGAATGAAAAAGGCAAGAAGGATGCAAGTTTTGTTGCAGCTTTTTCAGCATTTTCAAACAGAAACATTAACAAATGGATTATGGACTCAGGTGCATCCATGCATATGACTGGTAATAAGCATTGGATGTACAATATTACAGAGCCACCGGTAAAGGAAATAACAGTTGCTAATAAGGAGCCGCTGTCAGTTGGAGGAGTTGGATACACTGATATGAGACTAGCACAGGGTAAGATCATTCAGCTTAAAAATGTCTTATTTGTTCCTGATTTGGCTGTCAACCTACTCTCAGTGAGCGCTATTGTCAGTAGCGGTTACAAAGTAACATTTACTCAAAGAGGATGTGATGTTCATAACTCACATGGAAAGTTTATATGTTCAGCAACTCTAAATAATAAACTATACATTTTGGATACAGATGATAGTCCTGAAACAGCGAATTTAAGCTCTAGTGAGGAGAAATGTAGTGAGACTTATTTATGGCACCTGCGTATGGGACATTTAAATGTTTCAGACATTAACAAGCTACCTGACAGTGTAAAAGGTGTCACTTTAATAAACTTTGATAATAACCCAATAAAATGTGTCTCTTGCTATGAGGGCAAGCAGTCAAGACTTCCATTCAAGAATATTGGTTCCCGAGCTACAGTACCATTAGAGCTTGTCCACTCTGACTTGTGTGGACCAATGGAGAACTTGAGCTGTTCGGTGGTATAGTACACCAGACGTCCACGCCCTACACTCCTCAGCACAATGGATTGGCTGAACGTATGAATTGCACACTGGTTGAGAAGAGTAGGTGCATGCTGTTTCATGCCAATCTGCCGAAGAAACTATGGGCTGAGGCTGTAGGAACTGCAGCTTATATTGTAAATCGATCCCCTCAGAAGGCTTTAGATGGTAAGACACCTTTTGAATTATGGTATGGAAAGAAACCTGACCTGTCTCATCTAAGGATATTTGGCTCCGATGCCATGGTTTTTGTACCAAAGGAAAAACGCCAAAAATGGGATAAGAAGTCAGAAAGGATGATTTTAGTGGGTTACTGTGATAATACAAAAGGATATCGTTTATTAGATGAAAAAACATGTAAAATAATTAAAAGCAGAGATGTTACTTTCTTTGAGAGTTGCAAAAACATGGATTCAACAGCTATTAAAAATAATGTTTCAGCTTCATCTACAAACTGTCAAGATAAACAAGTAGAGTCACAGCTGTGTGGAAGCCCACTTAATTCTACAAAGCATAATAACAATGTACTGGTGCTAACAGAATCTCCTGAGTCTGAGGTAAGAAACCTTATCCCGCCTGTTGCAGAAACTACTGATGATTGTGTTGCAAATGAGGATTGTGATGAGTACTCTAGCGAGTATGAGACGGACACTGGGGAACTGGATGTAACATACACCCCACCGAGATGGCTCCACTCACAGCACCAGTAAGGGAACATCACACTGAGGCCTCGAAACCGGGCACAAACAAATATCCCAGATACAAATGAAAACAGTATGTTTTGTCTACTTTCAAGTTTCTTTGATCCACAGACAGTCGACGAGGCACTTTCATCACCATATGCCAAACAGTGGCGACAAGCAATGGATGAGGAATACAGCTCACTGATGAAAAATAACACCTGGAGTCTGAAGAACTTACCTTTAGATAAAAAGGTTTTGCCTTGTAAGTGGGTATACAAAACTAAAACTGACCCAAGTGGTAATATAGTACGTTTTAAAGCCAGGCTCGTCGTTAAAGGATATGCTCAGAAGAAAGGCACTGACTATGAAGAAGTGTTCTCCCCTGTTGTAAAGTACAGTACCATACGTTTTCTCATATCACTAGCAGCAAGATTGGGGCTTGAAATTGATCAGTTAGATGCTGTATCAGCATTCCTTCAAGGAGACATTGATGTAGATATATATATGACACAGCCAGAGTTATATGAACAAGGGCCTCAAGTATGTCATTTACATAAATCTTTGTACGGATTGAAACAGGCAAGTAGATTGTGGAATTCAAAACTGAACACTGTATTGCAGGAAATTGGCATGAAAAGGTCAAAGTCTGATCCTTGTGTATATTTTAATGTCAACAAGAATACTTATATTGCCGTATGGGTTGATGACCTTATTTTATTTACTCCTAATAAAACTGAACGAGAGATAGTAAAGAACAGGCTCATGCAATACTTGGAGATGAAGGATCTGGGTAAGGCCACACAATGTGTCGGTCTGAACATAACAAAGGAGAAAGACAAAATTATGATTGACCAAGAAAAAATATATTAAAGAAGTACTTGATAAGTTTGGCATGTCTGATTGTAAACCGTGTAAAAACTCCAATTGAAGTTGGTCAGAAATTTACACAGAATGCTGATGGCAAGGAAATAGACTACCCTTACCAACAAGCTATAGGATGTCTTCTTTATATCGCTCAAGGTACAAGGCCTGACATTTCCTTTGCAGTTAATACTCTCAGTAGATTTAACAAAGAGCCGAGAGCAGAACACTGGACAGCTGTCAAAAGAGTACTACGATACCTACAAGGAACTAAAGATATGAAACTCACTTATACCAAGGATGGTGAATCAGTGATGAAGGGCTACTGTGATGCAGACTGGGCCAGCGATACCATTGACCGTAAGTCGTGCACGGGCTATGTTTTTATTTCTCAGGGAGGCGCAGTGTCCTGGTGCTCAAGGCGACAGCAGACAGTGGCGCTCTCAACGGCCGAAGCAGAGTACATGGCAATGTCGTCGGCAGCACAGGAGGCGCTGTGGCTGCGACAGCTTCACGTCGAGTTCGGTCAGCCCCTAGTCGAACCTCTTCACATATTCAGTGATAACCAGAGTGCTATTAAACTATCTGCCAATGACTGTTACTTACCTCGTTCTAAACATATTGATATCAGGTATCATTTTTTAAGAGAGCATGTAAACAATTTAGAGATTAAATTTCATTATTGCAGAGGGGATAAGATGATTGCAGATATACTTACCAAGGGGACAACTGAGCATAAAAATTTGTATTGTTTAGCAAAAATGGGTTTGCGTTCAGGGGTGGTTGTTAGGAATTGAACGCAACCATGATAAAATTTGTAATCTTGAATGCATTGTAATGTTTTCGCTTTTTGCCGCTGCGCGGCGCTACTCTCTCTTCTATTAAAAACTGCATTGTAATAGTCCGTATAGTGAATAAATTACATGATTATATTAAAATACTTGCTTTATTGCTGATATTCCTACATGTTATCAGTTTACGCGGACTCTGCCCCTGGTAAAACCATGGTTTACAAGTGGCATGGACTTTTTAAACAAGGAAGAGAGTCCATTGAAGATGACGCCCGCTCCGGGCGACCGATTGAGGCCACCACACCGAAAATCGTCGCAAAAGTAGAAAAACTTATATTGGAAGATGCCTGGTTGAAGAAGAAACGGCTTTGAGCAATGGTTAGAGTATCTGAAAAAAGCATTTTTAATATCCTACATCATCATCTTGGGATGACTAAGGTCAGTGCAAGATGGATTCCAAGAATGCTCACGCCACTTCAAAAGAGCGATCGTGTCGAGTGTTCTCGCCAGTTTTTGAAGCTCTGTGGAGAGAATAAGGACGAAGTTATGGACCGGATTTTTACTGGTGACGAAACCTAGGTTCACCACTATGAACCTGAATCGAAGCAAGAATCGATACAGTGGCATAAAAAAGGCACAGCTCCTCCAAAGAAGTTTAAAGTGTCACAATCGGCCGGAAAGATCATGGCGACTGTCTTTTGGAATACAGAAGGTATTTTGCTGATCAATTATAAAGATCGTGGTGTGACTATAACGGGACAGTACTACGTTTCTTTATTAGAGAGATTGAAAGAAGCTATCAAGGAAAAAAGAAGAGGAAAGCTGTCAAAAGGTGTGCTCCTTTTGCACGACAACGCAACAGTCCACACGTGCCATGTTGCGACGGCTGCCATTCACCGATGCGGACTCGAAAAACTACACCACCCACCTTACAGTCTAGACTTAGTCCCCAGCGACTATTATTTGTTTTCAAAAATGAAAAAAAAGCTGCGGTGAAAAATATTTGAGAAGTCAAGTCCGCAATTTCGGCCTATTTTGATAGCCAAGATAAATAATTTTTTTCGAATGTATTAATAAATTATTTGTGAGATCCGAAAAATGTATTAAGGTTAAGGGAGACTATATTGAAAAGGAAAAATAGTTTCGTGTTAAATTTCAACCCCCTTCCCGCTCATTCCGCGAACTTATTGACCTCCCCTCGTATATGTAGCCTTAATATCAATAGTTCTGATAAAAAATCTCATGTGTAACCATATTTTATATGTGACTATAAAATTTTGTGTAATGTATATAGTAAATTTAATATGTTATTAGAAAAACTTTCATGTTATTTTTCTTTCTAGCTCTGGATTTAAAATCAGCTTTGGCAGTATATCAAGGTGAACCTAAAACTGGTAAAGCGGATACAACAATGACTGTATCAGACGATGACCTCATGGAAATTGCTGCCGGCACACTTAGCCCACAAGTTGCTTACCTAAAGGGAAGGATTAAGATTGCTGGAAATATTATGTTGGCTCAAAAACTCGGACCTTTGCTTAAGAGTGAAGCTAAATTATAAGTAAAAATGCAGGTCATGGGCATAAACTTCTTGGTGGCATGTCTTCAGAAAATGAAATAAGTTCATTAATCATAAGAATTATAAAAATTTATGAATGCACATTCCTTTTAAATGGTTTTTATAATAATGGGATACTTAATATATTATGAGAGGAGACTAGATATATAAATATAATATTTATATAATTATCAATCTACATTTGTTACAATATTATCAATTCCAGATGTTTATGTTATGGTGAAGGAATAAAAGTTTATTTTTTTTAAATTGTTTTATTTGATTTTTGGTTCATAGATTCCTTGTAACACCAGAGATGCCTCCTTTACTTCGTTTTCCCAAGCATCCTTCATTTGTTGTTGAGAATTTAGATCAATCAGTTTGACGGCATTTATTTCTGGTAATGCATTTGACTTTAAAACGGTTCCTATGACACAGCAATAGATCCCTATAGAGAAAAGCCTTTATATTAAATACTTTCTTAATACAATTCAAGTTTTTTTATGATATACAAAATACATGTTAAGTACATGTGTTTTACACTTACAGTACTTGTGTTTACAAAACGAGAAATACCCAGTTTTTAAGTTAACAATAAAGTCATACTATACTGACTGGAATATTTCTAAGTTTATTAATAAAGAACAAACTAAGATCAGATAATATGAACCAGAAATAATCATGTAATATATTCTTATGTTAACCTAAATTTTTAACTTATGGCTTCATACTTATTTTGTTTACAATATTACCATAAAATCGACTAGTATTTTATTAAACGATCTTTTTAAAATATGGTATAAAATTCTAGTATTAAGTTTTACCTTGTCGAATAAAGTTTTTTTGGGAACTTCCGATAGCATTTTTACAATTCTTGACTTTAACAAGATTCTTTGGTGAATCAGAAATTATTAAAATATCCTTATCTACAGTCTGTTCTATGGTTCCCTGTATCCATACATCAAAAGGTGTTGGTTTATTTCTAAGATCTTTAATTAAATATTTTCGTGGATTTAAATCTCTTTCTTTCTGACCATACATAATAAAACTAATTAATTTCACTTCACATGAATTTATTTGGTGAAAAACTGATAGATAAGATCAATTTGAGAGATATAGATATTATTATAGTATTTTGTATCCACTAACAAGTAAAAACTAGCACCATAAAAACAAGTGTCAAAATTGTTTAAAAAACATCGGCTATGACTTTTGACTTCTCCACGACCACAGATAATATAAGGTTAGTAGTTAATATTTACATTAACTTAACAAACAAAGTTATGTTTTACAAAAATGCAATAAATTTTAATTATTATTTATAAATTACTTCTGCAATATATCAAAAGTATTGAATGTGTCACAAATAATCTGATCATATTAAAATTCGTTTCTCATGCATATTAGTTTCTTTTGTGCTACTTCAGTAGTTTGCATGCAGCTGCATACGAACGGCAACATCTATACTAATATTATAAAGCTGAAGAGTTTGTTTGTTTGTTTGTTTGAAAGCGCTAATCTCCTAAACTACTGGTTATACTGGATAGTCTAGTTATCGAGGAAGGCCGTGGGCTATATAACATCACGCTACGACCAATAGGAGCAAAGATATAGTGGTAAATGTGTAAAAAACGGGAGAAATTATTTCATCTTTGAAGCTTTCCGTTGCATACGCCGTGAAAACGGTTCAAGATACACAAAAAATATGTAGTAAAGAATAATAGCTCTTTTAATGATCTAAAAAACAGGCCGCGACAGTATATGTCTATCTTTTAAGATTAACTCACAAAAACCGTTTTTATGGTACCTTATTTGGTCGAAATAATTTGTTTAAGTTGTATCAACATAATAATATTAATCTTTATTCAAATAAACAAATAAATATATTGTTGGTTAAGAGTACTTCATTGTGAATTAAAAAAAACATAGGTTTTATCCTGAAAATTTTACGGGAACTCGACCATTCCGAAAACCCCGCAAGAACGGGAACTATGTGGGAAGAACCAAAAATCTGCCGGAAGTCACCATTCCTAAGACGAAGTCGCGGCAAAAGCTAGTAAAATATAAAATGAAACATTGCTTAAATGAAAAAATATATCTATGATATTTAAAGATGACATCTCATTGTATCAAAATGTGCTGTGTAGTCACTATAATAGTCGCCTATAATACTATAATAGTTGGCGTGTAAAGTTAAATTAAGCAATAAAGTCATAAGTACGGGATGGAGAAATCATGAATACCTCAACAACATACCCGCAACTTTCCAACAGTAATACTTCAATAAGTTAATTAATACATTCATGACACATCTTATGTTTACGCTGGTGATTTTTTGGAGGGTTTTTAACTATTGACCTTATATCACAAAAAAACTCTTTGTTGAATTTTTATGTAAATTCTATAAATTCAATCGGTTGTATTGATTAGAAGAATGACATAATTAATATATATATATTTTTTTGACTGTAAAAGTGTTCACTATTTGATTAGAAACTGAAATCTTAAACAACAAAATAACTGGTGATAGAAACTACAAATGGATGGCTATTCTACTAATATTATAATTGCGAAAGTTTGTGAGTGTGTGTATGTTTGTTACTTCTTCACGCTCAAACGGCTGAACCGATTTTGATAGAATTTTGTACACAGGAACTGACGTCCAGGAATAACACATAGGCTACTTTACATTCCGGAAATCCGCGGGTTACACCGCGGGGCGCAGCTGGTTTTAAATAATTGGTACTATTCTGCAACAAGTAAGAGGTACAATTAATAAATGTAATTTAGCTGTAACAGGTTTTTAAGTATTACTAATTAGTAATAAAGTTGTTGAATCTTAGCTATGCCATTTTGAGCATTTGAAGCTCAAATGTGAGGAAATTTAAATCCTTCACAGATTTCTTCTATTGGTAAAGAGCACGCATAAAAATATATCATAAAAATGAATTTTGTTCTAAAAAAAGTTTAAGTAATTTTATCATCGTCTAAGTCTATATGATTTTTTTTCTAATTCAAATAACCCACAATGCTTCCAAAGTTTTCAATACTATCTAGAAGGTTCATTTTTATAATTACACTAGCCTTTGCCGGGACTTCGTCCGCGTGGAATAGTGACTTCCGGCAGATTTTTGGTTCTTCCCACATCTTTTTTTCCCACACCCCGTTCTTGCGGGGTTTTCGGAATGGTCGAGTTCCCGTAGAATTTTCAGGATAAAACCTATGTTTTTTTAATTCACAATGAAGTACTCTTAACCATCAACATATTTATTTGTTTATTTGAATAAAGATTAATATTATTATGTTGATACAACTTAAACAAATTATTTCGACCAAATTAGGTACCATAAAAACGGTTTTTGTGAGTTAATCTCAAAAGATAGACATACTGTCGCGGACTGGTTTTTTGATCATTAAAAGAGCTATTATTCTTTAATACATATTTCTTGTATATCTTGAACCGTTTTTACGGCGCACGCGACGGAAGGCTTCAAAGATGAAATAATTTCTCCCGTTTTTTACACATTTACCACTATATCTTTGCTCCTATTGGTCGTAGCGTGATGTTATATAGCCCACAGCCTTCCTCGATAACTGGACTATCCAACACAAAAAGAATTATTCAATTCGAACCAGTAGTTTCGGAGATTAGCGCTTTCAAATAAACAAACAAACAAACAAACAAACTCTTCAGCTTTATAATATTAGTATAGATAACTGAATATCGTAGTAGTAACTTAAAATATTTTTTAGAGACAAAGAATTTGGTTAATAAAATAATTCTGTGTCTACTCTAAATTCTAATGCTAACTAATACTATGTATAATACTAATTATAATATTTTTAGAGATGTATTTTGCTTATTTAAATAGAATTTTCAAAGAAATTTAATATCCGACAATGGTTTTTCAATATATATATTTTTTGTTTTTAGAATTTCATTATGTATTTTTAAAAGTTTCATTGAAACATACACAAGTTTAAATCTTACTAAAATATATAATAGAATTAAATAAGAAGTCCACCCATTCTGCATTCATATACTTTTCATAGTTTAGGTATAAAAAAACACCAAGAATCCTATTTTTCGTTCTCAAATTTTTGTGTTTTAGGCCCAAAATCTATTAATACTTAGATAACAAATGCTAGATTTAGTGGCGATGTATCGATATTTGTCACACTTTCACAAGAAATTATGTAGCTTTGACATTGAATGTACATATAGGCTATATATCTTCATTCCATGTAGTTTCCATGAAAACCCTTAGTGTCGGACAGTGCCGGCGTTAGGGGCGGGGGGGGGGGGGGGGGGCGATGGGGCCACGGCCCAGGGCGCCAAATTTGGGGTGGCGATTAGTGGAGGTAGAATACTTATAAATGAAAAAAAAATAGGAGCTACATAACTTTCTACGTCCACGTCGTTAGCTCTGGGTCACGCTAAAGGAAAGATGGAAGATGGTAGAATGTAGATGGAATATAGAATTCTTAATACACGTTCAGTGTTCACATTGGTTCAGAGACAAATTAAAACTTGATTTTGATTTCTTCAAGGGGGCGCCAAAATATTCTTGCCCAGGGTGTCAGTCCTTTTATCGCCGGCACTGGTGTCGGATTAAGTAAGCGAAGGGTACATAGCAAGATTGTTTGAAGACCCTTTGGTGGGATGCAGATTCAAGCTTTTAATACAATCTGGCAGTATAAGTAGTAGTTTTTGGACTTGTCTGCCATCAAGTATAATAAACATTATTTCTATTACCTAAAACTTAAAATGTTTATGTTTTTGAGAAGTAATTTACGCACAGGGAAAAAATAGCGGATCCACTCTGAAGGCGGGTTCTTAGTAATTGCTTTTACCTAGTGGTCTTCAGAACAGGTGTATGTAGTATGAGGTCACGTTACACAGACAATAAATATTACTTACGATAGGTCAACATACCTATAATGATAAGTACATTTTTATAATTTCTCCCCAAAAAATAAAGACGATTAGCAGACATAAAAAACACGAGCATAGATCAGAAACAACAAAAGAAAATCATGTTTCATTAAGATCATCTAAAAAACGCTTACAATTTTTATTTTAGTAAATTATTTTTCACAAAACACACACACGAAAGTTCCATAAGTAAATGTAATATTAAACCAAGTTTACACAAATCAATGGCTGCGTGTGATCGTGTTTACATTATAAATTTTATTCAATAGGTCTTTATAAGCTGGTACACGGCGTTATTGATTGGGATTTGAGAATGAGCCATAATGTTTTGCTTGCTCTCCGGGTGGTGACTTCTGATTCTATGTACCGATTCTAAAAGGAAACGTTATAATTTTATATAGAGGTTGGCAAAAGAACATTCTATTCAGGTACTTCATTAAATTATACACTCTTTGTAGGTACGATTAACTTATTCCCATTTTTGATTTCACCTCAGGTTTTTTGGATGATATCTTGAAGATAACAAACAGTAGCGTTTGGTACTTGTCTTCCTCACTGTATGTTTATTTCTATTTACGAAAGCTGATGCATCATTTATTTTTTATACTCCAGAACCAGTTTTAAGCTCTTACAATTCTATCATTAAGTGTTATAATTTTCGTAGGTTCCATACAGATCAGATGAAACAATGCACTGTAGCTAGTCCAACATAGTTTATAAGAAACTCAATTCTCAAAATATTTTATTTTATTTTAGGGAAACAAACAATAAGATAAACTTATGGGATAAGAGTATACAAAATTACATATATTGGCGAAGAAAGTAATAAATATTAATAAGATTAGTAATAAATATTCCGTCCATACTCTTCTGTAGTTCTGTATATTATTGTTCAGAGAGAAGCAAAATATAATTTTGGCTTTAGTTTTGCATACCTAATTATGGGTTTCACCAAGATCTATTATGTTGAGAATCTCATCGTTGGTATTTTTGTTGTAGTACCAGTATTTTTATTTGTTCGTTAGGAAACCAATGCCTGGTACACTTTGATGCACAATGGAACGACTACCATTACCTAGAATATTATTCTAATACCCAGACACAT